TCTTCCTTGGCCGGTGGGGAAAGTGGAAATCCTCGGTTTTGCCGCGAGACTTGACGGAGCTGAGGAAGTGAGCTCGGGAGATGGAGTGAATTGCGTCGCTAAACTTATCGTGCAAATCCCAAATTTTCTCCAGCACAACTTCGATCTCTTTCTCTTCCACCTCCATTTCCCATTTCATGGAGGAAAAGACGAGGACAAACAATCCTCCGGAATACAACTGTTTTCTGTATTTTCTAGGGTTAGGTACTCCGTTACCCAGTATTTTATATATTCATTTCTTTATTTATTTGTTTGTTTGGCAAATTATATTATGCACCGCGCGTCTTTTTTTCTTAAATGAAAATAAACCGTGTTTGTTTCCGCCTTTTTGCACCTTTTTGTAAAAAGTAGTCCTATTATTCAATGTCATTTTGTATACACTGCAGTTTCAGTTCAACACAATTACAATTTCATTTCGGTGTAATTATAGTTTCATTCGATATTTATAGACTCAAATATGTGAAAATGTTATTTAATTTTATTTTATATACACTATAGTTTTATTAAAACACAACTACATGATCATTTTGATATAATTATAGCTTCATTGTACAATATACACTCAAATATATGAAATGTTATTCACTTTCATTTTATATACACTGCAGTTTCATTTCACTATAACTACAGTATCATTTTGATATAACTGCAGTGTCGGTTTAGATATACTATAGTGTCAGTTGGTGTTAATACTCCAAATAAGCGAATTCTATTAACTCTAACGGCGGGCCGTTTCTTTACTTAAAGAAACGGCGTCGTTTTTTACCGCGGTGCATGCGGTCTATAATATAACGACTGGTTTGTTTGATACATTAGATTTTTCAAACTATAAGTCATGCCCATGAGCCCATAAGCCTTTGAATGAGGTAAATTGTGAATTATTTCGTCAGTTCTTAAGTCCCCACATTTTGCATGTACATTTCGTATATAAAAAGTCTACATCACCTTTAATCGGTCAAAGTTTCTTTCGATAAAGTAAATAGTAAATCATCTCGTTAGTCCTCAGGATAAGCCTCCATCACCTCAATTGAAGTCTCTCAACTGCCCTCAAATTTTAAGTTGGATTCGAACTTCAAACAGTTGCAAGAGCAAAACTTTATAGTGATCAATGAAACCAACTAAATACAATTCAATTTTTTTGCATGACAATTATTGCATTGTTTGGCCAAGCAACCTATCCAAGTTAATCAGATTATTAACTTAGTAATCAAAATGTTATAAGTTACACTCCCAACATGAACTACATATTGACATTCTTAGTTTGAGCATATCATTTATAAAATTTGACCGGACAAATTTAGCTCATTTTAACCACTAGACTTTTTTTGAGTACTAGTGATTCTGTTACTATGCAGTATCCTTCCATACAGGATAGTAACCTTGTCACTAGACCACAAAGTCTATGACCCTGTTTGGTAAAATGACTGTTAGTTGATAGCTGTTTGTTGTTAGCTGATTGTGTTAATTAAAGGGTATAAATAGTTGATAACATTAGATGATTGTAGAAAAATGTTTGGTAAATTAGCGGTTAGCTGATAGCTGTTTGGTATAATTTCTTTTCTCAAAAAGCTAATTGAAAAAGTTACTTGGAGTAGTTTTTGGAATTTTAGCCTTTTGGAATTACAAACAACTAATTAACCAAACATTTCTATTGATATTTTAACTAAATTAAACAATTAATAATGGTCAAATAAGCCAAAATTGGCCTATAGGCCAATTTTTTAGCAAAACAGTGCCTATGTTGGACAAATAACTTTGGATGTTACTGCAAACACCTGATTCAATGGTTGGTAAACTTTTCAAACCAAAATACTATCAAAACTCTAACATGATGGCCTCTAAATCCTTTGCTTAAAAAAAAAAAAAAAAACAAATCCCATGAAAATACAAAGGGAATAAAAGAAAAATTCCCCCTTAAAAAGTTAAAATGTGTATGCTCATTACAACTCCACATATTATTCATAAGGATGCTGACACACACATACATACAATACATCAAGTGCACCCGCTTATTACGTTCAAACTGATACACTTCCTAATCTACCAAAATCACTCCCAATCTGCTTCCCTGTGGCCTGGCGGCGGCGGCGTTCTATCCGTCACCGGCGTCTCCGTCTCTCCGCCGCCATCCTCCCCGGAGATTTCCTCCAGCGACCTCCCTTTCGTCTCCGTCAGCAAGAAACTGCAACCGAATCCCAGCATGTTAGTAAACGCCAACAGAAGCATAGCCTTCTTGATCTTCTTCGAGTCTCCGTCCTGCGTGTAGTACTGCACTCCGAACGCGCTCACCATCGCCCCCGCCTTCCCCGCGGCGGCGCTGAGGGCGTGGCACGTGGACCTCACCCTCGTCGGAAAAAGCTCCGCCGGGAGAACAAACGTCGTGCTGTTCGGACCGAAATTCGCGAAGAAAAACGTCAGCCCGTAAAGCGTCGCGAACGTCCACCGATTCTCCGGCTCCTTGAGGTAATCGTACTTGACTCCGATGATCGCCATGAACAACGACATCATGAAGAATCCGACGACCTGGATGTTAAATCTCCCGATTTTTTCGATGAAGAAGACGGTGAACCAGTAGCCGGGGAAAGTCCCGAACAGGGCGATCACGAACATGGCGCGTGAAACCTGGAACATTTCCTTCAACGCGCCGACTTGTTTCGGAGGATCCGTTAGATGCATCACCGGAAAGATATCTTTTTGGGTGAGATTTTGGCTGTAGAAAGCGATATCCAGTAAGAACCACGTGCTCATCGTTCCGACCAAGTGAAGGCCGTGGCGTTGCCAAAACTCGTCGGAAAATAGTTTGTAGCTATTAGCGGCTTTGAACTGTGACAATTTATCGTTATCCGCTTGGATTTCGATGTCGAGAACTTTCCCCATATCTATGGCGGCCTGCTTGGCGTTCCCCTGTATAATCGCCGTGTACCGCCCCGTCTCCGGCATCTTCATTCGCCAGTAATACGTCAGAAGCGCCGGGAGGGCTCCCATCATCAGCACGATTCTCCACACGTAATCCGCCTCCGGCTCCGTGGCAAACACCCCGTCCACGTCGGCGGCCGGGCCGCCGTAAAAATGGAGAAAAATACTGGCGACAATCATGGAGACAAGGCCGGCGAAGATGATCCCGACGCCTTGCATGGCGAAAACCGCCGCAATGAAGGCGCCTCGGGTCTTCTTGTTGGCGTACTCCGACATGATCGTGGCGGAGAGAGGATAGTCCCCGCCGATCCCGAAACCCAGCCAGAACCGGAAGAAACAGAGCGTTCCGATCACGGCGGCGGGGCTGGAGCCCAAGGAAAGGCCGGAGCAGATGGCGCAGATAACCATGAGAATAAGTGTAATCCCGTAGACTTTTTTCCGGCCGAGCTTATCCCCCAGCCAACCGAACACTAACTGGCCGGAAAGTGTGCCGACGAGAGCCACTCCGATGACCGTATTGTTAGCGAAATGGGAGAGCTTCCCGGGGCCGCTGCCCCTGTAGAAATACAACCGGCCCAGAAGCTTCGAGACGGTGGAGATGCAGAAGAGATCGTAGGCGTCGGTGAAGAAACCCATTCCGGCGATCACAATGGCGGTGACGTGGTACCACTGTGTCCGGGCGGAGTCCAGCGCATTCAGCACTGCGAGATTGTTGGACGACGACATTATTATTAGCTGTAACGAAGTTTCTGCTTCTGTATATATCGCCGATGAGGTAATGATATGATAATCTGGTGGTGTTATATATGCATCGGATGAGTTGATTTTCTCTATGACAAGCTAAGGTTGTATGAATCTTATGGCGTTTATTACTAGGCTCCGAGGTTACAACTTACAACAAGAAATTGATGGAAAACTTATGTATTTATGGTGAATATTCTCATCATTTGCTTGCGTGTCAAGCATATTCTTGTAAGATTAATCGATTTTATCCTGATCAACCAACTTGAGCTTTAATAATTTACTAGAAAGGCTGCAGTGTGACCCTAGAGTTTAAATTATATTGCTGGGAGTTGCATTTCGGGTCCTAGTTTAGGTTGTCTATAACTGAACGCGGTTGCCCATAGCTGACCGACGCATTTTAAGTGAAGTGCCTTATAACCTAATTTAGGTTGTTTGAACGTGTGTTTTAAATAAAGTTCACCTTATGATCCTAGCTTAGATTGTTCATATATATAGTTGAATGCATGTGTGAACAACTTCTTGTGGCCCTAGTTTAGATTATGTTGCCAGTAGTTTATGAGTTCAAACTGAGAAGTCCAAAAGCAACTAACTCTCACAGAAAATCAACCTTTAAACTTTGTAATTACCCGGTCATTGTCAAACAAGTTTGGGTAGAATTGCGCCAATTCAATTAACACACACTATTAAGCTAGTAGTAAGTAATTGTGTGATTAAAGTGGCAAATGCAAAAATAATAATGAGAAAGAGTGTTTATACATGTAAAATATTTAGAGATGAGGAGTAGCTCATATAATTACATGGTTGAAAGAAATTATGGCCAGTCTTGTATGAACTTTCTTTTGACTATTTTAGATAATATTAGAATTGATGACTGTCCGACCTCATGTATTGTCACCTATCTCTTTTTAGATAATATTAGATTTGAACCACCTTACTTGAGCTCCTTAGATGTAATGGCCACCAAAGAAGCTCTACGCTAAAGACCATAACCCCCCCCCCCCGCAGCTAAATTTAAAAAACTAATATAAACTGTTTAATGCACGAGAAAGACATATTTCAATAATTTTAATGTTGATTACATCTTTTAATATGAGAGACATTTATAATATTGTTTCTCTCACTGCTGGAAATTATCATATTTCTGACCACTTTTCCGACCACTCAAAAGAATGGTCGCAAAAAGTGAAATTATTTTAATTTCCCGTCGAAAGATCGGAAATTCTTTTTTTTTTTTTTTTTTCTCTCTTCAATAGAATAGAAATTATTATTGTATATATTGGTAAAGTTTAGAGTTTGACACTTAACATGACCCTCATTTCATTTCATTTCCGCCCTACAGCTGTTCTCACTCCTCTCCTAAAATAGCTCTCGCATCTGTCACTCACCTAGACTACCATCGCCGCTCAGCTCTGTTCATCGCTCAGTCTTCTCCGTCTGCCCCTCAGCTGTTCTCAGTCCAACGCTTCGAATCCTCCATTCGACGATGGTTTCCTGAATCCGTCTGCTGACAACGGCTCGACGATCTTCGTTTCGCCGCCAATCTACGCTTCTAGAGGCTCCTCCGATCCGATGAGAAGCCGTTCGTAGATGCTTTTGCGACTTCTAATGCACCAGTTCTGCCGCCGCCATCGGAAATGCAAGAGGAAGGATTTGCTCTCAGGGAATGGAGAAGGTTAGGCATTTCTACTGTCTTATTGATTTATTCGCTGATCTGTTGCATACTCACATCCATTTCACTTCTCTGAACTGATTTTGTCTAGATTTCTTTTAGGATTGAAATTTTATACCGATTATCTGTCTGAACTTATTTAGCTTACTGCTTTATTTAAGATTTGAATTTATTTACTTTGTTCTGCAGAAATTTTACTTCTCTAGTTGTTTGTTTATGTTATATGAACTTTTGTCCAAGAGGAAGCGAAGCAGGGGTGGCCTCACCGCTACCAGTAGGTTTGAGCTTGGAATTGCATTTGTTCTCTTCTTATTTATTGGCTTGATGCGTTTTAAATTGAGTTACTTTATTGTTTTTGTTTATTCTGTTGTGTTTTGCTATGCATTTCTTGATTAAATGTTTCTGGTTATAGGGCACTGAGAAATCAAATGGTGGAATTAGTAGTATAACTAGGTAAATTTCCTCTGCCGGTGAGTGCTCCATTTATGTTTTGTTTTAATGCATTTATTCAATCAAAGATTTAGATTTTTGTAGTGTTTTGTGTATGCTCTGATTAGATAATATAATAAATTTGTAATTAATTGGTGGTGCAGCCAAGATGAATCTTCTGGGGTGCTTCAGGCTAAGAGACATTTTACAGCAGCAAAAGTTGATGGCCTGGTTTATAAGCTTGGGGGTGATGCTTATGTTAAGGTAAAGTTCTGATTTGTCATTAGAATGGGATACTTAGGCATTTTATTTATTGTGATGGCATTCTTCAGATGTTCCAGTCTTCCAGATGGCCCTCTCCCGGATCCTCCAATGATGGTCTACTTTTGCTCCTAATGTCGAGGAAAATGCATTTTGGTGAGTTTCAGATTTGATTGCCATCTTTAATTTGAATAGTTGCACTCCTTACATAATACCATCAATTTGATATCTATGAATGAATCGTATTGCATTTCTATATATTGTTCAGGCTAATGTTGGAGATGGAACCATAATTATGAATAACCTCCTCCAGGTCTGGATTTGCAATCCACTTCTTTACTTTTTAAAATTGTAATTTTAAGTTTTGCAGACAATATTTATTAGTTGTTTTGTTAGTAGCATTTGAAGGATGCAAGGGATCCATATTCAGGAGTTCCACAGGCATAGTGAAAGTTTACGACTTATATTATCAGTAGAAAGACTATGTTCTGATATAATTGGTTGGGTTTTTAAATCTTTTAGCTTAATAATACTCCAGAATATATTCCTTAATTTTCATTAGTTTTTAGTTTTTACTCTTGTGAATTTTGCAGAAAATATGGTTCTTGAGAAACTGGGGGGAATCCATTATGAACACTCGGTTCGTTGCTCTCATGAAGTGAAAGCTGCTAACCAAACGAATCAAATATCAGCGTCTTGTATCATGCTGGTTCAGCACTATAGTGGTGCTATAGTGGGCACCTACTGAATTGCGGTATGTCTTTGGATACAATAGTACTCTATTTCGATTCTGTAGTGCACACACGTACACATATGTAGTGGCTGAGTTGAATTGGATCTGTTCTCTAGGAATGATTCTCACGCCTCGAATGGTCCTGCTCAGTTGACATCTTTTATGCTGGTTCGGTTTCTGTTTACTCCAAATGTATCTCCCGAAAAGGTAAATCCTCGAATTCTCTCAAGGATTCAGAGTTTCTGTGAATTTGGTAATTGGTATTGCAAGGGCTTAATATGAGTGAGTGCGTTTGATATGATGATTAAGGGAATATCTTTATTATTATAACTGATTTATTATCTTTACTATTAGAATTGATTTATTTCCTTTAGAGATAGCAAATAATTAGGGTAAGGATCTTTAGTGATTCTCCTTTCCTTTTTATGTTTTTGCTAGTCTTCCTTTCCTTTTTATGTTTTACTAGTCTTTGTAACCCTCTTATATAAAGGGGATTTTCATTCTAATAAAAGGACAAGCAAGAAAGAAGTTAAGTTAAAATCAAGAGGTGGGAAAACTCTCAAAACGTTCCTATTATCTTTGTTCCTTATATTTATCTCTCAACATAGACAACCCCAATAACCCTACTCGCCCTTTGACGCGTGCTTTCACCCGAAAACATAACATTTTGGTTCCGTTGCCGGGCGTCAATATGGGCGATATCAAGAAACTCCAGGACGAGGTCCGAGCTATCCAGGCATCCATCGAAAAACTGGAACACCTTCCTGCAGCTGTGGACTCTCTAACCGAAACAGTAACCAATCTCTCCCAGATGGTGCACTCTTTCTTCACATCGCAGGCCACCACTTCCACAACTGTGGCAGCCTCTCATGGCAACCAAGCCACTCCGGAGACTGCACTGCCGCAGCCAGCTGCTCCCATTCCGGCTACACGATTCACCAGATTGGAGTTCCCCACTTTTGATGGCAAAGGGGACCCTCTTGTTTGGCTCCATCGCTGTGAGTTGTTCTTTGATAAATCACCGCATTCTGATCATGAGAAGGTTACCACAGCAGCGTATTATCTGTTCGATAGCGCCCAACTGTGGTACAAACGTCGCATGCAGGATGGTCAACAATTTTCTTGGAATCAATTCAAAGGTGCATGCACCCTCCGTTTTGGACCACCCCGGAGCATCAACCCGTTAGGTGAACTGGCAAACCTCAAACAACATGGTCGGGATTTAGACGAATTCATAGATGATTTCCAGACCCTCCTCGCTAGAGCTGACAACGTCCTTTATTCTCAACAAGTCAATCTGTTCACAGCCGGCCTTGATGAGGTTCTACGTATAGATGTTGAAAGGATGCGGCCAGTTTCTCTTGATGAGGCCATTAACATAGCACGAGATTATGCTCGTAAAGGCCTCCTGCTTCACAATGCACCTCCCCGACAAACTTTCCCATCCCAAACACCCCCTAGTTGCGCCATAACAGTGCACCAACAGCCACAATCACGCCCTCAGTTCCATAAACTCTCCCCGACAGAAATGATAGAGCGCCAAAAGCGTGGCCTCTGCTATAATTGTGATGAACCATGGGTAAAGGGCCATCGTTGCAAACAACAACTATACATGCTTGGCTTTAATGGCGAAGGGGACGATGAGCCAATTGACGCAACGACCCCAGACTAATCAATTCCCACTTTTCTAGATTTCAAGCTTGAGGACAAGCTTGATGTCCAAGAGGGGAGTAATGATATGATGATTAAGGGAATATCTTTATTATTATAACTGATTTATTATCTTTACTATTAGAATTGATTTATTTCCTTTAGAGATAGCAAATAATTAGGGTAAGGATCTTTAGTGATTCTCCTTTCCTTTTTATGTTTTTGCTAGTCTTCCTTTCCTTTTTATGTTTTACTAGTCTTTGTAACCCTCTTATATAAAGGGGATTTTCATTCTAATAAAAGGACAAGCAAGAAAGAAGTTAAGTTAAAATCAAGAGGTGGGAAAACTCTCAAAACGTTCCTATTATCTTTGTTCCTTATATTTATCTCTCAACATAGACAACCCCAATAACCCTACTCGCCCTTTGACGCGTGCTTTCACCCGAAAACATAACAGCGTTACTTAGGCTCAAGGATATAAAGTTGAATTGATAGCTTTAATTACTTATTTAATGGAGATTTCAAGATTTTTCTTTGTTCTTTTACTGCTTGAAGTAGCTTTCATTACCTTTTTAATTAAATTCATCAATGCTGCAGATTCTTAATGAAGTCTAACTTACAATGTGCTGTCAAAACTTATCTACTTCTGATTGTCCTACTGCATTTGCTAGTTCCTACATGATTATATATTTTTGCTTTCTTCCACAATCATGAATTATGAAAGTTGCAATTAGTTAAAACCAGTTGCAATTAGTTAAACAAATCCTATAAGTTCATTGATTTTGCCCTTGTTCATACTTCTGGCCACACAACAGTAACTACATTATTCTAGGATTAAAATTCATTTCAAGGTTAAGGAATTAATGAGTAAATTAACCCTTTCCTAGTTTCTTACTGGAGTTTCTGTTGTTTTCCATAATCTTTAGAGTAAATTTATGATTAGGAATGTTGCCTTCATCTTTCTTAGGTCTTTGCATTATATTGCTTTCAATTGTTCTTACCTTCTCTCTACTGCTTTACTTTGATGTCAATCACCTCTGCTATTAGCATTAGGATAATACCAGCATTATCTTGGTACTCTCTAGACTTACATAATGTAATGATGTCTGATATGTTCAAGTCAGAAGCATAACATTATTTGTTAGATTATAAGTTTCACGTCAGCCAGTCTTGTCCAAGAAGTGGATGTCCTAGCAGAAGTGTAGGTAAATTGTATCCAAAACCTCATAGCTAGTTGATTATGATTTGATTTGCTGATACTCTTAAATGCCACTTCTTAAAACATGAGATTTGCCTTAGATTGAAGGAAGCTTTGTTGTAATTTTGGGTTCAGGTTCAGATCCTTCAGAATGAAAAGGAAAAAGTTCTGGAGGAATCGGTGAGAAGCCTTGATGAGAAGTTAACATCTGCTCTCGATGAGTGCAACGCTAAAGATGAATTACTCACAAAGTTCACAAAAATGGCGGAAGAAGCCATTGCAGGTAATAACTGTATTTCTTTGTTTATTCATGTTGTATTGATGATTCTTTCAATTTTTTTTTCTGTTTCTGTAAAGTCCTTCCAACTAACTTTTGTGCAATTTGTTAATTGATGCAAAATTTAGCTCACAAGAAAGCGGAGGCTGAAATTATGTGTTTGAAGGAAGAGTTAGAAGAATCTATAAAGCAGAGAGAAGCTGCAAATGGAAGGCTAACTCACCTTAACAGTGCATTGAAGGATTGTATGCAGAAATTAACTTTCAGCAAAGAAGAAATGGAGCAAAGAGTACGCGATACTGTAATGAGGACAGGATTCGAGAAGGCCCATAATATATATATATATATATATATATATATATATTCATTTCATTACAGAGGATTTCTCTGTAGTGAAATGAATTTTTTTTTATTGACTGCGTCCAGTTTTCCGACCACCAAAGTGGTCGAAATTTTCAACCACCGGTGGTCGAAAAATTTGGACCCGCCTAATTATTCTCTTGGCCATTTTTTCCGACAGCCTTAGAAAAGTGGTTACTCTTTCCGACCACTCTCTCTAGTGGTTGAAAATAGCTAGGGGGATTTTTCCGGATACCCAAATTGGTCGGAAAAGATGTCGGAACTAGCGTTTCCGACCTAATTAAGGCCATTTCCGACCACTTTTCGGTGGTCGGAAAATGGCAAATTTCCAGCAGTGTCTATTAAAAAGTATATATATATATATATATATATATATATATATATATATACACACACACTACGGCAGCATTGGAATCATCTATTTATCTTTTGGCATGAGCTGCCATCAAAGGCACCCCGTTTTGTATTATTAAATATTGTAAATTTTGCCAATACTCGGCATATTGATTGAGTTCGTTGCACTTAATTTTCAAATACAATTTATATTTTATAAGGAAAAGAGTGAAATAGACCATTTAACTTTTGATGAAAAAGCAATTAGGCGCTCAAACATTAAAAATGTTCAATTACACACTTGAACTCTTAAAAATTGTGCAATTAGACCTAATTTACAGGTAATCAACAGGTTACCAGGTAAAAAAATTTAAAAATATATATATATTTTTATTTATTTTTGGAAGGAGGCGAAGGCTATGGTTATTGCCGATGATGGTTCCGTCCAAGCACAAATCCAAGGTGTGTTGCTGGACTGAAGGGGTCCCCTCTGTGAACATAAACACTAGACCTATCCACCGACCACCTGCTCATACAACGCCGGCGGTGAATTGAATAAGTATCCTTCTGTTCCGAAAGATACTCTCTCACCGGCGCCGGCGCCGGAGTTTATGCCGGCATTCCATACCGCTAGCCTCTGGTGATGTTCATGGTGCTCAGAAGCACTGAACCCCAGCTGAGTTGCGATAGCGACTTCGACGAAAAGGTTTTGTGCTTCTCCATGGCTAGCCGGCGGAGGGTGGTGGTGGAGCAGGACAGTAGGATCTTGGAACAACTGTAAAGATAGCCTTAAATCTTAGCTATGGAAGTTCAAAGCATTAGCAGAAGAATTAGGGTCCGGGGAAGCTCCCATGGGGAAGAAGCTCTTTATTAATGTATCAGAATCCATGGAAGGAGGCGGTGATGGTCGCCGGACGGCAATAAGCAAATAAAAATAAAAATAAATAAAATTTATATGCATTCAAATATATATATATATATATATATATATATATATATATATGGATGCACTCAGGTGCGAATAAGTGCCCAGGAGGGAATATGCGAACGAATCAGTGTGCCACACGTGTCCAGATCTAATAGATTAAAAAAAATGCGGTGACATTTTCGTAAATAATTGAACATCGTAGTGCAAGTAAAATCACTTACAAGTGCACCTACTTTCACCTATAAGTTCGTGTAATTTTGCCTTGTTAACTTTCACTTCCCGCAACCATTCATTCACCTAGGTGCACCTACTTATAACTATAGGTGCAACTATTTATAACTATAAGTGCATGTAATTTTGTCTTGTTAACATTCACTTCCCGCACCCATTCATTCACTTGGGTGCACCTACTTATAATTATAGGTGCAACTACTTATAAGTTATAACTATAGGTGCACATACTTTCACCTATATATAAGTGCATGTAATTTTGTCTTGTTAACATTCACTTCCCGCACCATTCATTCAACTGGGTGCACCTACTTATAACTATAGGTGCAACTACTTATACCTATAGGTGCAACTACTTATACCTATAGGTGCAACTACTTATAACTATAGGCAAGGTTGAAAAAATCGCTAGGCACCCTCTAGGCGCCTGGGGACCGCCTAGGTGGCCGACCGCCTAGCGCCTAGGCGCTGATTAATCGGTGCTTAGGCGCGATTTTTTGCAACACTGACTATAGGTGCATTTCGTATTGATGCTCAGTGTAAATTTTACTTGCACCTATAATACATTTTACTTGCACTTCGATGTTCAATTATTTATGAAAATGTCACCGCGGTTTTTTAATCCATTAGATCTGGACACGTGTTGCACGCTGATTGGTTCGCATATTCCTTCTTGGGCACTTCACTCGCACCTGAGTGCAATTATATATATATATATATATATATATATATATATATATATATATATATATATATATAAGTTAACTCATTTCATGTGCGGTTGTGCGGTTGATTATTGTGCATGAGATTTGTACTGAATGTGCGTAAGTATTGTGTTTAATGTGCCTGAGATTTGTATTTAATGTGCGTGAATGTGTAATGTTAATGTGCGTGAGTTTTGTACATAAGGTGTGCGAGTCTTGTGTCTTAGGTGCGTGAGTTGTGTGCTTAATGTGCGTGAGTGTGTTCTTCATTCACTGTTGTGAAAATTATGTGCATCTACTGCTGCATTTTCTTCTTGTTTTTGTTTCGAAGTGGTGGATGAATGAATTTTGTCTTGTTTTGCTTTGCATACTGAGGGGCTGCTAATGAAAGCTTCAAAGATTGTGAAAAAGAAGGAAACTGTGAAAATTTTCTGTTCTGCTTCATTCTGAGCTCGTAATTTTGAACTACTCACGCACATTAAGTACAAATCTTAGGCACATTAAACAGAAGACTCAGGCAAATTAAGTACAAAACCCATGCACATTAACATTACATACTCACGCACATTAAGTACAAAGCTCAGGCACATTAAGCACAAGATTCACGCACATTAAGTATAAAGCTCACGCACATTAATCAACCGCACAACAGCACGGGAAGCCACAAATGCACTTGATCCCTTCCCTATATATATATGCATAATATTTATATACAGTGTGTTTTAACTAAATTATAAAGGGAAAAAGATCAAATAAGTCCCTAAATTTTACACTAAAAGTCAATTAGACACCCATTTCATTGTTGAATCTTTTTATGTTTTCCTTAATCTCTTAAATGATTGGACTCATTTCATCTGAAATAACTTAGACGTTGTAGGAGGATCTATTTTTTTTCTCTCTCCAACTTCTCACTCTCCACATTAATAAAAAAAAAAACCTTAAAAATCATGAATAATCCACTACTATGAATGCTTTAAGTCAAACTATACCTACAATCTTCCCAGAGCTAGCCCGTTGTAGCTTCATGACAAGTTTGGCACATTGCTAATTGATGTGAGTGGACACTTGATCGCCACCTAAACCCGCCAGCCATTGTATTTCAAGTCAAAGAAACTTACCACAAGTCATTATGGCACAATTAACCCATCGCATTAAGCATAAATAAGATTTATCTTATTATTCGTACCATCTTATACTTCGCATTACTACATATACTAGCACTTGTAATGTGAATTGATTTGATATTATATTAATGACCGCCACAGGTTAACTGAGGTCTCAACCACCTTATCATTGTTGAGTTTGTCTCATATATAAATTAGGAATAAGTGTTTGTCTCATACTAGAAGTAGGAGTGAAACGGGTAGATCTATTGTATAGGGAATGGATGCCTATAAATATATTGGTTGTATCCCTAAAGGGTTGTGTCACCACCATCACCATCACCATCACAAATAATAAGAACAGTTTCACTCTCGTGGATGTAGGCATATTGCCGAACCACGTAAATCTTGTCTTCTTTGCCTTTCTGCCATTATTATTTTTCTTGTTCTTGTTAATCTCAACAAATTGGTATCAGAGCATAGTTGAGATGGCTAGTTTAAGTACAAAATTCGAGTTATCAAAGTTTATAGGGAATTTTGGGTTATGACGGTCTAGGGTAAAGGATTTGTTGGCATATCAGGGCCTTCTGAAAACCTTGAGGGCGGAAAAACCAACTAATATGGAAGAGGCTGATTGGGCGGAGTTGAAGAAGCAGAAAGCTATGAACGTGGTTCGTGCTGATGACTCTTCATATAGTGAAGGTGATGTTCTAGCAGTTACAAGGAACAAGTTCGAACATTGTTTGGACTTGTTGGATGTTTCTAGATGCTAGATGAGAAAGTGGTGAGGGGCGCTGTAGTGTTGGGCAGCGCGGATACCAGGAAGGGTCGTGGACCTAGTATCGGTATGGGCTTATATGGGCTCGGTATGTGCCGGTATGGCACTGGTTAGGGCCGATATGGGTTTGGTATGGACGGAAGCTTCAGGATGAAGCAGTTCATGAACATGCACTGGGAACGTTTAATGCTGCGTTGTGCGTGTTGCTAACTAGTGGTGATAGCTGGTTAGTGGAGCATTGGGCAAGGCACACGGGTTTAGTGTGACTTTGCAGGGGCGCTGTTGTGTTGGGGCAGCGTGGATACCAGGAGGGGATATGGACCTGGTATGGGCCGGATGCAGGAAGTCAGCTGAACGGGGCAGTTAGCATGAGTTGCAGCGGTATAACAGGTCGACGGCTGAGGGGCGAATGGCTTGGAACAAAGCGGTTCGTGTACATGCACTGGGTAACGTTTGATGTTGCGTATGCATGTGGCTGGCTAGTTGGGATGAGCATGGTTGTTCCTACCCATGTGTATATAAGTGGTCCATTAGCAGCTGCTACAAAACCTCCCTGCGCGTTGCATACATAAAGACCGTACGTCGGAGAAGCGCCGTGGAAACCAGCATCAGCAAAGCAGTAAGCTCCTCCAGGCGGCAGTGGCGTCATCTCCAAGGCTGCCGGCAGCAGGCGGATGAGCAGCCGGGTTTTGGGGGACAGCCGGATCTTGGGCGGCAGCCGGGGGTAATGGCGCAGCCGGTCCGGATGGCGCAACCGGCGAGTTCGTTGTGGACCAGGCAGACCAATAACCGTGAAAGCCGTGACATAGATGCGAGGGTGTCGGTAGAAAAGAATCCCAAACAGCCATATTCCGGGCTCTCCAAATTTCGTAGAGTATTCCACAAATTTGTTCTTTTAGAAACCCAGCAGATGTTGCTGAGCATCCCAACCAAGCCTCCACCCAATGCATAAAATCATAACTATCAACATTAGGGATTAGAAGACGTGAAACATTCCACACACGTCTAGCATAAATACAAGTGCATAAAATATGCATAATATCCTCATCATAATCTCCACAAGCTGGGAAAATATTAGGAATTTCTACTCTCTTTCTAACCAAATTGGTAATAATTGGCAAAATATTAGATAGGGCCTTCCATAGAAAAATCCTCCACTTGGGAGGGACCCTAAGCTTCCAAATGTTGTTCCAAACTGCTTCTGGGGTGATGCTCAATTTCCCTTGGCATCTATAGCCATCTTTTATCGTATATTGTCCCCTTATATCCCCTTTCTAAAACCAGTCATCCTTGAAATTAATGCTTACAGGGATTTTTAATATTAATTCAGCATCCCTGGGGTCAAACAACTGAGAAACTAGCTCATGGTTCCATTTTTCCTGATCATGATTTAACAGGTCAGCGACCATAAGATCCGGGTGCTGGGCCACTTGATCAGTTAGCACAAACGGATTCTGGGAGTCAGGCAACCACGGGTGAGACCATACCTTGGTAGTTCTACCATTACCAATTCTGCGCTTGCAGCCACTACGAATCAGGTTCTGACTTGCCATAATGCTCCTCCATACATAGCTCGGGTTACCACCTAGGGAGGCCTCATAAAAGGTAGTATCACGATAATATCTTGCCTTAAAAATTCTGGTCATTAAGGAATCCGGTTTGGTTAATAATTGCCAACCCTGCTTCCCTAATAGTGCCAAATTAAACTCATGCAGCTTCTTAAAACCCATACCACCATACTTCTTGGGCACACACATTCTATCCCAGGTCATCCAATGTATACCATCCACTGTGGTACTCTTTCCCCACCAGTACCTATTCATCAATTTTTCCAAAGAAGCACATAATGATACAGGCAACAGAAAAATACTCATAGTGTACGTAGGCATTGCTTGTGCCACGCTCTTAAGTAGTACCTCTTTACCTGCCATAGAAAGCAGCCTCTTATTCCACGAACCAAACCTTTGTCTCAGTTTCTGCTCCACATAGGAAAAAATAAATTTCCTGTTCCTACCAACAACCGAGGGGAGTCCCAAATATTTACCAAAGTCCTCCGCATGCTTCACCCCCAGCCCCATGGCGATAGCATCCCTATCCAACAAAGTGTTATTACGACTAAAAGAGATGTTAGATTTATGATAATTGACAGATTGGCCCAAGTATTGCTCATATACTTCCAAACAATGCTTCACCTCCATAGTCTCCTGCATGTTTGCCTTAAAGAAAAGTAGGTTGTCATCTGCAAAGAAAAGATGAGAGATGGGCGGGGCCCCACGCGCCACCCTGCAGCCATGGATCCGTCCTTTAGCCTGGGCATCCTGCAATAATAATGATAAGCCCTCTGCACAAATGATAAACAGGTAGGGTGATAGGGGATCACCCTGCCTTAGACCCCTTGTGGGCAAGATCTCCTCACTTGGCTTCCCATTGACTAGGACCCTATACCTGACTGTCCGCACACATAACATGATTAAATCAACCCACCTAGCATCAAATCCAAGCCCCAACAACATACGTTCCACAAACCTCCATTCCATTCGGTCATAAGCTTTGACCATGTCTAACTTTAGGGCTGCCCATCCCACTTGGCCCAACTGTTTCCTTCTCAAAAAGTGACCTACTTCAGATGCAATAAGAATGTTATCCGAAATTAGCCTACCTGGTAGAAAAGCACTCTGCGATTCTGAGACAATACCATCCAATAGCGGTTTCATACGGTTAGCTATCATTTTAGCCATTACCTTATACACAACATTGCATAAAGCAATAGGCCTCAAATCAGTAACCAACTCAGGGGCAGCCTTTTTCGGGATCAGAACAATATTGGTATTATTCAATTCGGGGGGAAAGGAAGATTGAGATAAACATGCAAGAACAAAACCAGTAAAATCCTTACCAATGATATCCCAGAAAGCCTGATAGAACCCCAGATTCATTCCATCCGGTCCTGGCGATTTATCTTTATCCATGGCAAACAAAGCATCTTTGACCTCCGCAGGCTCGAATGGTCGTAGCAAGTCATCATTCTGAGCACGAGTGACACGGGGGGATAGGGTATCCACCTGGAAAGTGCCCATGTCTCCATTTGTCTGAAAAATCTGCTTATAATACTCCGACACCAGAGAGACAAGCCCATCACCCTCCTTCCATACCCCATTCCCATCATTAAGTCTCACAATGGAGTTCTTACGTTTACGGTGCGTGGCATATTGATGAAAGAACTTCGTGTTCCGATCCGCCCCTTGTAACCAGTGTTGCTTGGCCCTTTGTTTCTAAAAGGACTCCTCCTGCAACAAGACGGTATTCAATTGCCCATCTAGCTGCCTGAAACGCCCCAAGGAAATCGGATCCATCTGACCTCTCAAACTATTCATCTCCCTTTTAATCGCCTCAACTCTTATCAATATAGATAAACTCATTTAAAATTCAACTTATAAATTCAATCCGAATCTTAATTATTCAAATCACTCATAAATGGCTATAATTTAAATCATTTACTTTTCAAGGGATTCATATCACACAATATTTTAGTCAAGTAACTTTTTTATATTAGGAATTAATATTAATCAATTTATCCATTTACTTATTTGATATATCAAAAGTTATAAATTCCTCTAAGAACCAAGTTCTAATTATTATTCTATATTACCTGTTGTGTAATAAAGAAAATTTATCATTATTATCTAGGAGTGTGCCTAGAGTAAATATAACTCTTATAACCTAATAATAATGTATTAGAGTCAGTAGCATTAAAAAAAATAAATTAATATAATATCTCATAGATCGCACAAGAGTAATAAATTAAACTAAAAAACTATGTTTTACAAGTTCAATCAAAGAAATGTTAACTATAATTGAACACAATTGATTTCTAATTAGAATTATAATCACAATTCTTTTTCCAAAAAGTTGAATACCTAATCCTAAGGACTCCACACCGCGACCAAACAAAAATAATAATAAAAAAATAGTGCGTCAAGCGCGCTATCAACGCGCCTGACGCGCCACACAGGCGCGTGCAGTGCACGCACTTGTGTGGCCATTGGCTGTGCGGAACGCGTACAGCGTGTGACCCTTTTTTTTTTTTGACATGCTCCCAATCAGACAAAATAATTTGTCAATTAATTCTTCCTACACTTATTAATAACCTCATTTATATTAAATGACCTGATATTAACTCTCATTTTTCTTTGATGTGGATGCTCTAACTAACCTAAAACAAAAAAGTCTATTATCCAATAGCGGTCGCGCATATCAATCCTACCAGCAATGTGAATACTAGTCGCGTTAGACTTTGAATTCGGGTAATGTATATAAAATATTTGTCTTTATTCATTTTTTGTCTAAGGCTTTCCAATGTCCTAACGCAGCCCTAAATCGAGAAAGTTCTTATTTTTGCTGCCACCTCTGATTTTGTGTGGGGCAAAACTCTCCGCGCGCTTGGTTTCCTCTTCGCCAAGGAAGTTGGAAGCACCAGCTCCCACTCTGCGAAACAATTCAATTTTCAATCATATTTTTTGCTTTTATGGTCTTAATCCTGCAATCACACGACCAAAGCTGAGGTAAAAGTGGTTCTTTCTTCTCTTTTTCGTTTTGCAATATGTATTCGAGAGCCCGCCGCAAAGGGCGCCCTTGTTTGCTTGGAATTCTCGTCGCTGGGTGGTTTTGTTCCCATTAAAGTGTAATTCTTTTTATGGTTTTGTTAGTGCTGTTTGTTTCCTGATATTGGGATTTCAGTGTTTTGATAGAGCAATTGCTTGGTTTATACTGCTCTTAAGGTTAGTGGGGGAAGATTGTTATAAATGTGCTGGTACTTGTACCTTGCCTGCAGTGTCTAGTTGATATTTAATTGGACATGAATAAATTTTTTTTGTGCTGTTTACATGTTTGATAATATGCCCTATTGTTTTGCATTGTTTAATTTCTTTTCAATGAGGTTCTGACTTTGTTTTAGGGTTCTTTGAGTTTTGCTAAATTGTTCAAGGTTTTGTTTTTTGGGTCTATGGGTGGGTTTTGAATTGGTAATGTATTGGATAATATTGCTTTGGGAATATTTCATGTCAAGTTGACACAACTCTTGTGCTAGTTTGTGATAGATAATACATGTCTATTGAGAGGGACAAGATGGTGGAAGAATCGAAGCACGATGAAGGCCCATGGTTGAGCACTGCAGAGGAACAATCGAGAATTATTGATATTGCTAATAACATTTCCGTGATTTCTGAACCGGTTGTGTTTACTGATGACCCTCGTCTTGAGCTGACTCAGCCTCAGCATTCCAGCACATCTTCTAATGACCAATTGGGCCTCGCTGAGCGATCCCTTTCTGCTGCTGGTGCCGCAATTCTCTCAGCAGTGCTTGTAAACCCTTTAGATGTTGTTAAGGTGTTTATCTTCACCCCTTTTTTTTTCATTGTTATTCCTTTACTTCAAAATGATTTTGTGAAAAGAACTATTATAAATAATTTGTAGTTTTTGGACATTTGACATGCCTGCTTAGCATTTCTATCCACTTTGCAGACAAGATTGCAAGCACAAGCAGCTGGAAATATGTATTCACACCCATTAAGCAACATGACAAGTCGAATGGCAATGTTTGGACCACACATGGTATTGCAGGCTATAGTGTTCATTTGGCATAGTTCCTTTTTTAATATATTATTATTATTATTATTATTATTATTATTATTATTATTATTATTATTATTATTATTAAATCTCCCCTTCCTTTTATTAATTTTGATTTCTCATTAATTTTACAATACATTTGCTTAGTTGTTTGCTGATCTAAGATGTTCACCCTCATGCGCCCGTGCTGGTGTTCATGGAACAGTGGCAATCTGTCCACCTGATTGTTTCCAGTACAAAGGAACACTTGATGTCTTTTACAAAATTATTCGACAGGTTTGTTGTCTGGCTGTCATGCTTTTGCAAAGTGATTATTAGTCAGATCAATTTTATCCACTGGTGCTGTGAGCTGATGGAATTGTAGTGATATGTCCAATAATGAAAATGATTTTATGTCTCTGACCCTGAATTCTGTATGAACACTGACATGCAGTTTAAATTCTCGTTTTGCATTGCTTTAGTTGTAATTTGATCACTAACTGGAATGTTTTCACAGGAAGGTATTTCTAGACTCTGGCGAGGAACAAATGCAGGTCTAGCACTTGCTGTGCCAACGGTAAGTGTTTAGCATGACTAGTTTCTAAAATCCTAAAACCCCTTCACAGATCCTACATGATAGGAATTATTCAAATTAATTCTAAGAACTCCCCATTGGAGAATAATTGTGTCTTCTGAACAGGTTGGGATATACTTGCCTTGCTATGACATTTTCCGCAACAAGTTAGAGGAATATGCAGCCCAAAATGCCCCAAGCTTGATGCCATATACTCCTTTACTAGCTGGTTCATTAGCTCGTTCTTTAGCTTGCACAAGTTGCTACCCTATTGAACTTGCCAAAACACGTATGCAGGTATTTTTTTCATCCTTGATTGAGGCTTTATCTATTCCACAATGCTTCAGGGCTGGAAGGAACAAGAATTTGGAAACTTGTGTTAGTTGTAACGTGTGCTCTTGAGCTAGTTGGTATTCTTACTGTTGTTGCTTATTGTCCTGAAATCAGTTGTTTGTGAATTTTCATTTAATTTAATTTTTGTATACAGGCTTTGCACAAAGGTAAGAAGCCTCCTGGAGTCTGGAAGACTTTATTCGAGGTCATCTCTAATGTTAAGAGCACTGCTAATGCTAGTAACACCAGTAAGTTGATGTTTTCATTTTCTTATTCATAAGAAGATAACTATTTGTTTGTATAGATGATTTTTAAACAACTACGCTGAATAAAAGCAGCAATTTCTATTATCCTTAGTGACAATTCTCTATTGAAATATTATTATTGCAGTACAAAGCTGTCGTGCTCTTTGGACAGGACTGGGAGCACAACTTGCTCGTGATGTTCCCTTTTCTGCAATATGCTGGTCCACTCTTGAGCCAGTGAGTTCTCATACTCGTACAGTTTTACTTTAAGATTCGAATTTGTGCTTTTGAGTTTATTTGGATTAAGGTCACAAAGGAATTATCAATTATCATTATAGGCAAGAAGACGGCTTCTTGGTCTGATGGGAGATGAAGCTAATGCTGCCCACATCCTTGGAGCAAATTTTTCTGCTGGTTTTTTGGCAGGAAGCCTTGCCGCTGCTGCAACATGTCCACTTGATGTGGCAAAAACCCGAAGGCAGATTGAGGTTTGGTTGCATCAGTCCTTTTCCCTGTATTCTTTCTTCCCCACCTTCCCTCCATGTTTGGTTGCATTATTTGGTTTTTTTATATCATGCTTGCAGAAGGACCCTATCAGAGCATTGACTATGACAACGAGACAGACTCTGCTGGAGGTGTGGAGGTACGAATCTTCAAAAACTAGTCCCATTGATTTCATTTTGTGGCATATAATTTTTCTCAAACCCGATTATAGTAAAAAATACGGGGAACCAACCTATAGGCTTGTACTTAAGTGTACACCTGATTTTAAACTTAATGAACGATATTTATCCTCATATACAAACGACTCTACTCTGATATCAATTGTTTGGGGTGGGGGGTGATAGGACTCTTAATAGGCTTCCTGGGAATTTGTGCCATAGTATATATGATTCTGGAGGCTTTAGGTTCTCACTTTCAAGCTTCGTAACTCCACAATTGAATGCACACATAAACACACACATCTGCAGATGCATGGCCACTTATTTGGATCTTTATTTAATATAGATAAGTCATATAATATTAAAATGATTAAACTTTTGACTTCCAAGTGTGCTGATGAATGCAGAGATGGGGGCATGAAGGGACTGTTTACTGGTGTTGGACCGCGTGTAGGCCGAGCAGGCCCTTCAGTTGGTATAGTTGTGTCGTTTTATGAAGTTGTCAAATACGTCTTGCATCATCAGTACGCCACACCTTAAACTGGACAAAGCCGCACAATCAAAACCTAATTAGTTTCTTCTGGACATTTGACACAAAGCAATAGATCTTGACAAACATATAAGACTTTTGCTTTCAGTTACATAGGAACACAGCCCTTGTTTTCTTGTATGTTCTTTGTGGAGTCATTGGAGCTTACAAGAAGCAGTTTTGCTAATGTTGGATCATCATTATAGTTGCCTAGTTTTGCCTAAGATAGGAAATAATCCCTCCTCCCTTGTTTTACTGAACAATTTGTTTTGTTTGGTTGGCATCTTGGGTGGTGCAGAGATTTTGGTAAGTTTTTGTCAATTGAGAAAGTAGTTTTTTACTGAGTTGATCTCAGTTAGAAATCCTTGCTTTTGTTAACTAATTATATCCTTATTGATAGTTTCTTGTGAATCATTATTCTACTCTTATGGTCGAATTTAAAAATTTATGATTATTAGAAATTGACATGTATTTTTCGTCTATATTTTACACAGACATTTAATGAGATATACTAAAGTCTTGTTTAGTAACATATTTAGCTTATCAATTAATTTTAGTTATACTAAAGTCTTGTTTGGTAACATATTTAGCTTATCAATTAATTTTAGTTTATTTGACAATTATTAACTGTTTGACTTGGTTAAACATTCAATTAAGTGTTTGATTAATTAGCTTTTTGTAATAGTTTATTGTTCTAAAGTGTTAAAATTCAAAAAATTGTTCAATTTTTTTTTTTGATAAATTTTTTGAAAAGTTATTTTGCATGTAATCATTTATCAGTTAATAATTAATTTATCAAGTATTTTTCTACAATAAGCTAAGAGCATCTTTATCAGTTGGGGATATTAGGGGGAGAATGCAAGAGTGAGTAGGAAAGAGAATAATGTGGGAGGGGAAGAAAAAAAAAATCAAAACTGATTTTAAAATATGTATATATATATATAAGCATGTCATTTCTCTATTGGTTCTCTCTTCCATATAATCATATTAATTCCTTTTTCTTAGGCAGAGTAATATCCCAACCTTTGCAGATGCTCCTCACCCCTTCTTTCTATTGATTCTCTTTCTGTCACCATGACATTTTGGCCTCAAAAGTAGTGAATTCTCCCCTATTTCTCCTCTGATGTAAATGCTCTAATATTATCAACTAATCAATTAATTAATAGTTATTTATCAAACACTTTTACACTAACTTAAAACAGTCATTAATACTATTATATGAGTCACTAATATCATTATACAATATAGTGTACATTACATCAATGTGACTTTTACACAACTTTAAACAAGTTACTAATACTACTATACGTTAAACGAGTCGCTAATATCACTATACAATATAGTACATTACATCGAAGTATTAATGTAACTACGATAGAGTTAGGTGATTAGTGTGGCCATAGAAAAGCGCCGATGGCGAACTTCCTCTTCTGATGAACGCTGCCCGTCGCCGGAAGGCCGTATTCCGACAAGAGGGCGTCCAGCTTCCACTCCGGCATCGACTCGTAGTCCGCCGCAGTGTAGCGGGGGTAGTGCAACGGCATCTTGAATTCCCCATATCTCTTCTGTTTCTCCGGCATCTTGGTTCTCTGTTTGGTTTATTATGCCATTTTTCAGGTGGGTTTTATAGGCGGAGAGGGACAGCGACAGCCGGAGGCGGCACGCAATTTATTTGCAATTCAATGAGAAGTTCCAGAACATTACTGGGAATGGAGTTGAGGTGGAAGCTTACCAACCACCATCTTCTTCTCCTTTCTCAACACGACGCAGTAGTCACAAGAAAACACTCAAAAATGGCATTGATTTTGGTAGGAAAAGACCCCAACTTTGTGGGATTTAGGTGCAACGCTGTTGCCCTAATAAACAAATATTAATGGTTGAAAGTTGAAACAACACATCATACCACGTGGAATATTAAAGCACGTATGAACAACTTAGTTGGTCACATGAGTAAAGTTTGAAGCAATAATTCGTGATGAAGTCTCATCAACAGCAATGTAAGAGTAATTTTTCAAAGTGAGGGGTTCCTTGTGCTTAATAAATAAAGGTCTAGCCTTTATGTTCAGATGCTCGGAATATTAAAAAAAAAAAAGATTGCACACAATAACATAGTTAAATGGTGCAAAGGCATAAGTTGTAACTACATGGTCCATTACCCAACTGAGTTTATCGGGTAATTGGTTTGATACTATAATTTTTTCAAATTTTTTTTAGTTTGAACTTATTGGTATAGACAATTTTACTTCTTTGTAATTTTTTGTTATAGTCACAAGACTGCTTTCACTTAGAGTCATTGTGCTTTCACTTAGAGTCATTTTCATGATAGACCCTAATTATTTTGATTTGAGCTAGTTAGCTAATGAACAATTTAAACTGGATTATCTCTTTATTGACTAGAGTCTCGGGAACAATTCACTTAGAATGACTTTTGAAATAGAATATGACTTTCTTAATTTGACTAATTTATGTTGATTTACTCTTTGTGGTTCTTTAGGTATATAAGAGATACTTTATTAAAATTGCACTTGACCCTAAATCAAAACTAGTGACAATTCAATTTTTATTAACAATACAATTCTTAGAGACGGAATAAGGAGAGATTCTTGGATTGAACCTTTAGAAAACAGCAATACACCAGAAACATCTGTCCGCCCTAAACCTCCAACCTTAAACCTCACTAAATATTTGCACTGACTATGAAGATTAGGAAGACATTTTTGATCTTTCAGATGTTATCCTATCTATGAATTCCACGTCATGCGGTATGTTAACGAAATTAACCACTGATTTGGCAGTATTAATTTTATTATAAGGATTAAATTAAATAAAATTTATGTAGAAAAATATAAACTTTAAATAATTTCAGCAGTTATTTATATTAAAAATTAAAAATTGATTCTTTTTTAACTACTAGCCTACTACTAGTAGGAGTTTGCTGTTTGGTTGGAGCTTCAAGGCTTAAAAAATCTGAGAAAAAAGTGTAAAGATGAGAGCTTTAAGCATTGTTTGTGGGTTGGGTCGTTCAATTCAGAGCAACAGGAGCAGTCTGATTTCTTCGGTTGCTGGAGTGCTCAATCCCTTACGTTGTCGAGCTTTGTCAACAATGTCGAGAGAGGATCCAGAGCTGAAGGAGGTGTTGGATTTCATGGACAACCTCAAGAACTACGAGAAATCAGGGGTACCCAAAGGCGCAGGAACAGATTCCGATGATGGGTTCGATCTTGGTAGAATGCGGCGCCTCATGGCGCTTCTGGGCAACCCTCATTCTACATTCAAGGTCTGTCTTTTTATTTTTATTTTTAATGATTAGAGAAACCAATAGCCGCCACTATGAGGACCAAGGTAAATTCCCCCATTGTGACCTTAGCCGACAAAGGACACAAGATAGATTGTCGGGCTCAAAACAAGAAGGCCAATATGTCGTTCTGCGAGGAGTTCAACTTGTAATCTTGTAGTTATCGAGTCAACAGTTTGACCAATTTGACTGAGGTTGTCTTGGTTGCTTACATTTTTGATTTGGCTAATGGAACCATTGCACTGGCTGGTTAAAATCTCTAATTGGAACCATTATGACTAATGAATGAAATCATAATAGGCTGTTCATATTGCTGGTACTAAAGGAAAAGGATCAACTGCTGCATTTCTGTCTAGTATCTTAAGAGCAGAGGGCTACTCTGTTGGTTGCTATACCAGGTATTCAATTGTTTTAACATGGATATTTCTCACATGAGTAAAATGTTGTTGGCTCAAATCCACTACTTGTTCTTGGACAGTCCACATATAGAAACTATTAGGGAACGCATAACCTTGGGACGGTTGGGTGAGCCAGTGTCTGCCATTGTATTGAACCATCATTTCCAGAGGGTGAGGACAGTTCTTGAGAGAGCAGTTGAACTTGAAAAAGGGCGTCTTAGTCATTTTGAGGTACGATTATGATTATTACCAATATTCTGAGTTTTCTTTTTCAATAAGAACTCTTTGCTGGTCTTGACCATTTTCATTGTTAGACATGTAACCTGTGTTGTGTTTGGAATTAAAATCTCAGATTTTCACTGCTATTGCTTTCAGCCTATTTTCTCAAGAGAATGTTGAAATTGCCGTGGTTGAGGTTTGAGTACTTATCCATTTTCATTGTGACTATATTTTCCCTATGCTTCTCTCCTTATCGTTTCGATTGAAGTTGGTGTTGAACTGGATAAGGCCATAGAATCTAAATGATTTGCAGGCTGGATTGGGTGGAGCACGAGATGCAACAAATGTAATTTGCGGTTCTCATCTTGCTGCATCAATCATAACAACAATTGGTGAGGAACATCTAGATGCTTTAGGGGGTTCCTTGGAAAGCATTGCAGTTGCAAAATCAGGGATAGTCAAAGATGGCCGTCCAGTTAGGTGGTTCTTGCTACAAAAACCTCATTTTTTTCTCACACTTATACAGTTCTTTGCAAACCACATCAATTCGTTTCATTCTACTCTACTTGGAACTGGTTTGACAATTCTTGGATTTGTTTTCTAACGGTTAAATATTTCAGTTAGTTCTAGGCGGGCCATTTCTTCCACATATTGAGTGCATTCTCCGTGACAAAGCGGCTTCTGTGTCTTCACCTGTAGTATCGGCTTCTGATCCTGGAAATAAGAGTTCTCTCAAAGGCTTCAGTCAAACAAGTGGCATAACTCACCAAGTGTGTGACATAGTGCTCCGTATTGAAAAAGATCTTCCTCTGGTGTGTGTGTTTATCAAACATTTTTCTAAGTCTTTTACATTTCTAATGAATGATGAACTGTTTTTCTATCTTAACAAGTTTGCATTTTTACAAAAATTATGCAGTCCATTGAGCTATTTGACGTGAGGATACACATGCTTGGGTATCACCAACTTAAAAATGCAGCGACAGCTACCTGTGCAGCACTTTGCCTTCGTAACAAAGGTTAAAATTGCGTTTTCTGGTACTTTATCCTCGTCAAGTGTGTGACATCCTTTTATTTGTTCTCACATTTTCTATTTGTCTCAGGATGGAGAATGTCTGATGCATCCATTCGTGCTGGTCTAGAAAGTGCGATTTTGCCAGGCAGAAGCCATCTTTTAACTTCAAAAGAATCTGAAAGGCTAGGACTACCTCAGATTACTATACTGCTTGATGGAGGTTAGATCCCGATGTCTTGAGATTAGCTCGGGCAGATTATGTATGCATGAATGCATGTATGTATGTTCTTGTAGTGTATTAAGGAGTTGTATTTTTCGGTCTTTTTACGATTATATTACAATTATTTTCAGCACATACGAAGGAATCAGCCCGAGCTTTGGCCCAGACAGTCAAGATGACATTTCCAAAGGAAAGATTAGTTCTTGTGGTCGCTATGGCAAAGGACAAAGATCATCTAGGTTTTGCGAGAGAACTACTCTCAGGTTTTAGTTATTTTTAAAAAAGGATACCTACTTTATGATTTTGAAGAATTGTTTTTGCTGTTTTATTTTATGATATTTTTTACGTGTTATGACCTGCTTCTTATCTCTTTTTGCAGTTAATTCTTTGGAAGCTGTATTTCTTACAGAAGTTAGCATTGCTGAAGATAAATCTCGAACTACTTCCTCATCTTTTTTAAAAGACGTTTGGACTAAAGCTTCAAGAGAAATGGGTATTAACGTTCTTGATCTTGGAGCTGCAGATTGCAAACAGTTTACGGGGGATCAGTCAATTCTTTCTGCTAAGGCTGTAGAACCCCGAGCAATATTGTTTTCTCAAGGGTCATTAATGGCCTCTATGAGAGTTGGATCTCAGATTTTGAATGAACGAAAGGGAAACCAAGTCGGAGTTCTGTTAGTTACTGGGTCTTTGCACGTTGTTTCAGCTGTATTACGCTCCCTCCATTAAGGAATGACGAAAAACGAAATAATAGTAGAGAGGAATTAGTTTGTGTATGTAACACTCGTTATCGATGAACGATAATCTTTAATAAGATGTTCCTTTGACACATGGCTCGAGGCCGGGCTATCTCTTGTGGTACAACATAATGCTTTCTTGTTAAAAGTCTGCACGAGCTAATTCAATTTTCTGGTACGCGCTTATACTCCTTCCATTTCCTTTATTTCGTCTTTTATGTTATTTTTTCCTTTTAAGATGATTAATTCCGGAAAATTTACTTCTCATTAACACGGAGAGGACATTAGTAACTAGCATGATTTGCTTAATGTGGATGGACCCGAAAAAAAAAATGGTGAAAATTGAAAATTGCTTAATGTGGATGGACATTAGTAATAGTTAAAGGAATGAATGGTGAAAATTGAAAATATATGGTTTGGAGTAATGTTTTTGTCTCATACATTTCGTGGGCGTCTTTAATGAGGTTGTTCTAGATTGTGATATGAATGCAGTTAGGAGGACCCGCATATTTACTTCAGTGTTGTTTTAGGGTTTTGTCCTACATTATATTGCATAAATTCTGTGTAGATGTCCCGGTCTATAACATTTAGCGATGCCTCCTTTCTACTGAAAACGAAAAGAGAAAGGGCCTTAGAAGAAGGTGGTTGTGCTCTTCTCTTTACCATTAATTCAGAATTTTTGCCTTATTGCGATGGGTCATGGGTGTGCATGAATATAGATACGGGTTTGTTTTCACGTGTCGAAATCTCATGCAGATCTTCCTAGGGTTAAAAAGTAGAATTCACAATCTCGTCATCTTACCTTATGAGCAATGTTGAAAAAATCGCTAGGCGCCCTCTAGGCGCCTGGGGACTGCCTAGAGCGCCTAGGAGGCCGACCGCCTAGCGCCTTAATCGGCGCCTAGGCGCGATTTTTGCAACACTGCTTATGAGAGTTGAATGTAATATGACCACTAGAATTAGACTTCTTCATTGTGGTTGAGCCTGGAAAGTGGCAATGGATAGTGAAGAAGCTTTATGTATATATATGAGTTTACATTAATTTCAAGAATAACTTGTCAAAATTCAAAATTTCTAAAATTTTCGAATTCAAAATTCAAACTTTAAAAAATATTTCAAAATTTTGAGTAAATGACTGCTAATCTATGGACCTGGAGCAGTGCTACATTGATATCCTTGTTACCCTCGAGATTGTCTGCAACTTTCTGCTAAACAGTTCATAAGCTATGTGGCACTAAGCCGAAACTAAATATACTGTTTGTTTTTGTTGCCGGGACTGAATTTAAGCCAGTGAGGCTTAGCCGCTTAGGCTCATAAGCGGTTTTAACAGGTCTTATGGCTCGAGTCTTGTAAGTATACGCTACTTCACTTGTAGACTTAAAGTATGATTATTTCTTGAAATTTAATGTTTTTCGTGGCATTTTGCTGATTAATTGGTCGGTTTGGACTGAATTTGCATGGAGTCTTCTGGTAAGTGCAGTACAATACAACCCTACTTTATTATTGTGTATGTATATATGCATGGGGGGGTTGTTGGGGATGGTAAATGTGAAAGATGATTGGTGATAGGGAAAAAATGTATTTGTTCTGAGAGGGAAGGGAAGGGGGGGAGTAAATGTTTATGAATCCAAAACCATCCTGTCCAGATTGTCATAAAAACGCCCCCACCCCCCCACCCTGCATTTACTCTTCTCGCCCGCCACTCCCTCCCCTCTCTGCCATCATTATCACGCACTTAACTTCACTTCACCTCCTGTATCTATCGGTTTCTTTGTGTGTCTGGTCTGGTGCACTCTCTCCCACCGCATTTAAGTCGCTCGGTTTTTTTGAATTTTGGGACGACTTAAATGTGTATGAATCATAAGGGGGGGCATGCAAATGCCGTGTCTGTGCATTTATAGAGCTCTGCTGCAGGCTCCCTTCCTTCAATGTTCATTATTTCTCTCTTTCTTTCTCGTTCTTCGTTAGAACAACTTGCAGTTCCTCTCGTCATCACCCTCAACCCCGCATTTACTCTCCCCTAACCGAGATTTCAGAGCACGGTGTGGCATTTTGTGTCGTGTCCATGGCTTCTTTATAACCGAAATTCTGCAGAAGGAATATAATGAAATGAAACAAATACACTTATTAGTTATTATATTTCCCTGTGTTTTAAGTACTCTCTTGACAGAACCATTGCACCTTCAAACCCCCCTTTTAACTTCTTCTCATTCTGAATATAGATTCAATGCCAATAACTTCAATTCTCTTTTCTTTCTTTTCTTTTCTCATCCCACTTTAAGAAAGCATTTTGAAAATTTTGCTGTTTGCATTCATACTGCACCAGTATTTATTATACAGCAGATATAGATACATCTTTTGTGTCCTCTTTGTTGAGCATATAACCATTAATGTGCAATCTAACTATCGGTTTAAGCTTTTAGTTGAGATGGAGTACATGCTTCAATTTGGTATCAGATAAGAGTCAATGCCAAAGATCATGGGAGCCCACCAAAAAGTAATCATTAATGTGCAATCTAACTATCAACTTAGGGTTTGAGTTGAGATGGAGCACATGCTCCAATTCTCTTGTATACATAAGCTATATATGCATTTATGCCACCCCATACGACGCGGTTTGTATTAAAATAGTAGACACGTATCAATGGGACGGGACATAAACATATTTTATAAAGTTCGAATTTCGACTGAAATCACTCCGTATTTTTTCCCATACACGCAAGATGTTTATAAAATGGATGAACTTATATTAATAAATAAAAAAGAAAAAAAAAAACAAGATACTTACAACTTGGTAACATTAATTGTTTCATACAAAGTTGTTAAGTGTTCTCTCTTTTTTTTGGCTGCTTTAATTAGCAGAATGTTTCCCTTCCTGCATAGTTGGCATTAACTTGGTGAAGGGGATACTAAATTTATGAAAAATTCTACCACATACATAAAATCTATGATACACAAAGGACCTTTTTAATTTGGTAAATAGTTAGTTTATCAGTTAATTTTAGTTTATTCGATTACTATTAACGGTTTGATTTGGTTAAACAATCAATATGAGTGTTTGTTTAATTAGCTTTTTGTAACAATTTATTGCTCCAAAATACTAAAATTCAAATTAGTTTTTTCGATAAGTATTTTGAGAAAATTATTTTTTTGTTTGTTTTGAAAACGTTTTCTTCTTGAAATTTATGGAAACTTCCAAAAACGCTTTTGCATCCTTCTTGAAAAAGGATGCACCATATAATTAAAGAGTTATTTGTTAGTTTTTATTCGAGTAAAAATTAAACTTTACAAGTGTAATTTGAGTCAAATCTATACAAGTCTTGCAGTAGTGGGGATATTAAAGGGAAAATGACAGAAATGCGACAGTAGAAGTATGCAATTCCCAAAAAAAAAATGAACGAAATTATGAAAGACACATTTGGGAAATGTGTTTTATCACATTTCCAGTCAAACATGAAACGGGAGTCTCATTTGCGTTTCTCGAGAAACGCAAATTTCACGAGAAGCGCAATTTTTTTTAAAAATAAATTTTAGTTTCCGACAACTAGGCTTCTCCGTCGAAGGAGAAGGCAACCAAACTGGTTGCCTTCTTTGCCTTCTCCTTCGCTGGAGAAACCAGCAACTAGTTTTGGTCGTCGGCTTCTCCGGCGAAGGAGAAGGCAACCAGTTGCCTTCTCTTTCGCTGGAGAAGCTGGCGACACCAGTTTTGGCTGCCGGCTTCTCCAGCGAAGGAGAAGGCAACCAGTTTGGTTGCCTCGGCCAATTTTGGTCGCCGGAGACCAAATTAAAAAAAAAAAAAAAGTTTACGTTTCTTGAGAAACGCAAATCTCACTTGTGTTTTATGTTTGACCGAAAATGTGATAAAATGCATTTTTCAAATGTGTTTTTCATAATTTCGTTCAACTTTTTTTGGGGTCATATTTTGGGAATTGCATGTTCCTGTTGTCACATTTCTGTCATTTTCCCGGATATTAAATACCGTATGTAAAAAAAAAAAAAAAAAAAAATCTAGAAACGTGTTTTTTTTAAGTGTTATGTATTTTAAGGGGTTAACTGGAAAGGGGGAAAAAAAATCTCATTGCTAAAAGAAAACTTGTTTTTAAATTGTCATTTTCCTAGGTCTCCTTTTTCATTCCTCGTATTTGTGTTACCTAGCTTAAGTACTATTAACAAAAAAAATCTATAAACTATTATATATATATATATATATATATATATATATATATATATATATATATATATATATATATATATATAGAGAGAGAGAGAGAGAGAGAGAGAGAGGCGAGTTGCGGTGTCTTACGATGCGGCATCACCAATTGTTCAACAAATATACTAGGAAAATACACCGCAAAAAAACAGAGGAAAATTAGGTACGCATCACCAAACACACACCATTAGGAGTGAGTAAAAACACCATACACTGTTCGGAAATACACCATTGGGGGTGGTGAGATATATGATGTATTTTTTTTTTGAGTCTGTTGTGTATTTTTTGATGTTTTATTGCATTTCATTGTGGTGTGTTTTTCTTACACTGTTGGTGCATATTGTTAACACAGTTGGTGTATTCTGAAATTCCGCGGCACCGCCGCACGGGAAGACCCCGCCGCATTTGAACTTTCTTCTTTATATATATATATATATATATCATTAACTATTTTAAAGTATGAGAAATGCATGCTTTTATTCGAATTAATTATTTTCATAAATAATGAGATGGTCCCTTACAAAATGGTCCTCGAGGGGTGGGGGGCACTTTATATAGTGTTTTGTTGCCAGGGAACCACCAGGAGAAATTATATATAGTCTATATTTGTTTGCATGCAGAGGAAAGAATAACATCTCCCCCATGAGGGAAAATGACACTATATATTTTTATTTTAATTTCTATATTTGGGGAACTCACCATTTTTTGAGACTTGAGAACATATATTTTTATGTATATAATTTAATTTCCTCCTTCGAAAGGTATTTACAAACCTAATTATTAAAAAAAAAAAAAAGAAGTTACATTTTTCAATTCGATTGTCCATGCATCGTTACTAATCGTTATTGACAATAGCGACTAAATTGGTACTAATCAATATGAGACGAAATTAAGTCCAACAGTTTGAGACATTTAGGATCCTTTTGAAAATTCGGAAAATGATTTATGAAAAATGTTTTCTGAGTTTTCAATGTTTGGATGCAACGGAAAATTCAGTCAATATTAACCGGGGGAAATGAAGTCATTTTGGAGAAAAATGACTTCCGCTAAAATTTGGGGAAGTCATTTTTCGCCAAAATGTTTAAACATACAATTCTACTTGGTTTTTCATAAAATAAATTAAACACACCAAGTTTTCCAAAATGCAACCAAATATTGGAAAGAGAAAATGTTTTATGAGAAAATGACTTATGTTCCGGGAGTCATTTTCATTCCTGCTTTCCAAACGGAATAAATAAGCGGTTAATGCAGTTGTAATATAATAATTAAACTCTGTGGATGGATATTACTCGAGTTGATTTCAGATTAGTCTTGTAGTAGTGGAATATATGCATAAATATGAATTCAAGAGAAGTCATTAATGGGAAACAAGTGGAGCCTAAGTACTTAACCATCCCATTGTTTGCTTAATTGTGTTTAAACATGGTTGAGCAAAAACACTTGCAGTGTCAAGTCTAGATCATGCTCCATTTTTAATCTCTACATATCTTATTCTTTCTTCCCAATAAATAAATGCTTTAAATTAAAAAGTAAATAGTGTTGTGTTGTTTACTCATAATAAATTCTTCTTTAAAAAAAATAATTTGATCACACACTGTTTAAAAACAAAACCTGCCTAGCAAAAGTTTACGGTGACTCCATTAATGCCTATGCAAGCATTATTCAAGCATCAAATTTTTGTAAGCCGGAGTCTCAGTAAGATAAGGATCTTGATGACAATCAAGAAAACTATTTTTTACAAAGCTGTATTTTTGACTTTATATATATTAATTGTTAGCTAAATGATACAATATAATATTCAATGTAATCAGACTTAGATGTATGGTGTCCGCACGAGCTTAGCGTGTTTGGGAGAAGAGATCAAAATTTGAATCTCTACTATCAGAGTGTGGGGATTATATGTCTAAAGTAGACAGATCCCTTTTGCTGATTTGCATCTCCCAAATACTTTGTTAAACCTGAGTGTGGAGTCTTTAAAATTGGGATTCAACTTTTTTTGGGAGAAGACTTACAATGTATGGTACAAAATATAATGGCACTATAAGCAAAATTGAATTTACCTTGTACCTACATATATAGATAAGTTCAAAAATATTTCACTATTTACTAAGACATACCTGCATGAAACCCTAGCTTTATGACTCTTGTTATGTCAGTATTGTTCTAGGGAACAACGTCGCCATTTATACACCCTCTGCTCTGCTCTCTCCTTCAATTCTCTCCTATCAAACCCTCTCTCTGATCAAACACTCTCTCCATTTCTTCCCTTCTCAGCTAAAACATTTGCGTCGTCATAACTCGATCGTGACAAATTAAATATAATGGATACTGCAGGGAATTTATCAGATTTCTTTGAGGACTCGGAGTTCGCCGGCGACGCTTCGCCGGACGATATCTTCGGAATCCTTGAAGCTTTGGATGACTTTAACCAGACAGCTGCACCAGCGTTTTCCGGTGAAACAGCCGCCGGGAAAGATAATGACGGTGGTGGGGTTCGAGAGTTATTATCTGAGACTGAGGTGGAGGGTTCCAATTCATTATCACCACCGAGGAATTGCAAGAGACAGAAAAGTAGCGCAGCCACCGCCGCCGTTCCTGACGACGTTAACCCGTCGTCGGATGAACAACAACCTCGGATGTCTCACATAACGGTGGAGAGGAACCGCAGGAAACAGATGAATGGCCATTTGTCTGTCCTTCGCTCCTTGATGCCTTGCTTTTATGTCAAAAGGGTACGTATAGTACATTCCAATGCCAACTTGATCACATGTATACTGCCCATCATATATATATCAAAATATAATATATTATAAAATATAAATGTGTAGTTTAACTATTAATTTATAAACAGAATAATTCTGCAATCTGAAAAAGAATTTACCTAAATAATCTCAATCAAGTTAGTCAGACTAACCACAAAATTATAAGTTCAACTCTCAGCAGTAGACTAACACAAATTGGTTTACTTAATGTACACCTCAAACAGTGACTGTGAATATCTGAAATTTTTCTGCACCCGAAGACACTAATTAAAGAAGTTTGGTTCAACATATATATATATTTATATTTGGAAATGTTGATTTAGAATATGTTAATGATGTTATTATTAGGGTGATCAAGCATCAATAATTGGAGGGGTTGTGGACTACATAACGGAGTTGCAGCAGGTTGTTGAATCTCTGGAGGCCAAGAAACAAAGAAAGGTTTACAATGAAGTTCTTCTAAGTCCGAGAAAACCAGCATTGAGTCCCAGAATGAGCAGCTATCCCATTAGCCCGACAACGCCGCAACCGACCACCTCGTACGGCGCCGCCTGCAGGCCGCCGCTGCTGCCAACGCCGACGACGGGTTTTTTATCGTCCTCATCATCATCATCAGCCGCCAGCCAACTTATTATCGAGCCGCCGTCTTCTTGCTCTCCGACAGCCACTTCCTCCGCCTCCGTGGACAGCGCCAATGAGCTCGCCGCGAATTCGAAGTCGGAGATTGCGGAAGTGGAGGTGAAGTTCTCCGGCGCGAATGTGGTGGTCAAAACGGTGTCTCCGCGCATTCCCGGCCAGGCCGTCAAGATCATTTCTGCACTTGAGGATCTCTCCCTCGAGATCCTCCATGTCAGCATCAGCGTCATTAATGACCACACCATGCTTAACTCCTTCACTATTAAGGTAACTTTTAATCTTCCAATTTATTTATTTTTTTTTAGTGTTCTGTGTAACCGCACTACTAGAAATTATGAAATTTCTTACCACCTTAAAGTAATTTTAAATCCGACCACTTTTAGGGGGTGTTTGGTTCGGGTTATCTAGGATAACCAAAGTTATATTTGTCTAGTTATACAAGATTCCTTTGTTTGGTTGAAGTTATCCAACTTTCCCATGGAATGTTATTTACCCTCCACATCATCTTTTTTTATAATTTTGAGGGAATGTGATAACCTTCTTCTCCTTAGGTAATATAAGATTCCCTTGCTATTTTACAAAATTTGCCCTTCACTTTGCAAGATGATTTGTAATATGAGGACATTAAGGTAAAATAACCACTATAACATTCCCAACAATTCATCAACCAAACAGGTTTATATTATATAACCCAGTTTTTACCAAACACAGGAATCTAACATTCCCTAAGGTAATCTAACATTCCGTGAGCCAAACGCCCCCTTAATATCAGAAAAAAAATTTGTTGCTATTTCCGACCACTTTTTGTTTTGTTTCAAATTTATTTTTTCATATAAGTGGGAGTTCAAACTCCCGACCTCTCACCTCTCTTTAAGAGATAAGAGTGCACGACCCACTTAATATTTCAATTTAATTACATGCTCAACATAAATATCACGTTAACTTATAATCTTTTGTATAAGTCTAACTTTTGTATATGCTCAACTTTTGTATATGTGTTTTAATCTAAATATAGTAATTTAGTAATATAATTGATATTAGGTTAGGTTTATGGGAGTTCAAAATATCGTAGTAAAATCATATACTCCCTGGTCCATCTCATTTGTCTTATTTATCTTAATTGGTCAAACTAATTATTTTTTCTTTACTTATTTTTATTAACATTTTCTTAAAGTATAATTTTTAAATATATAAACTTTACCTTTTTTTTTTGAAAGGCTATATAAACTTTACCTATTATTTATAATTTTATTATAAAAAATTAAATTATAAATAATTTCAGTCAAACTTTATTAACTGAATTCAATACATAAAATTGGTAGAAGTAGAAATAAACCAGAAAGTGAAGTGCATGCCTGCCATTATGTACGACGGACATGCATTATTTCTTTCTTGCCTATTTAGGCTAGCTGTCGACCTCGGGAATACCACTTATTATTCTCACTGCATGCAAATTAGGACTTCATTTTTTTTTTTTTTTACTGCAAAAAGAGTTATTTATTCCATTTTTTATAATTTTTTTTAGTTTCCAAACAATAATAAGATGCAGGTCACAACAGTTACGAATAATTGTTTCTCACTTTCTTGCATCAAGTACAAGTCAAAAGTTAAAAGAAAAATGTTTTGAATTTATACATGTAAGCAGATATTATAGGAACATTAACCTATATTTTTTGAAAACTTTTGTGTTATATTGCGAGAAGTACCTGATCAGAACTGGGACTTTACCTATAAATAGTGATGGGATTACTCCGTATCAACTAGTACACATATGGTAGTCACGGATCTACTATTAGAATAAAGTTTGGCCAGATCTACACCAATCTGGTATGCTTATCTTTCCGACCATCTCTTCTACCAAGCTCAGCTATAGGCAACCATATGCAAGGGCTATAGTAATCGATGTGTCCTGACCTACCAACCTGATTCTACTGGCAAAACGCAATGGCGGTGCACCCAGTAAACTTAGGAATATTAGGACATGTGGTCAAGTCACCCTGGGCCCTGATTTGAACTTGTACATCGGTTCCACGTGCCATACATGCTATGAGACCGGGGCATGTTCCCTCTTATTCTCTATAAATACTACATTAATTGTTATAGGGAGGGACTTTTGCTAATTGTTAGTTCGAGAACCTCTGGCCCACGGTCAAATATTCCGAGCTTCATAACTTAAACTAACAAGCAAACTATGTATAGTGATCGCAGTCGAAATTAACCCTAGCACCATATTACGTAGTATACGCTCGTATTTACTACATCAGTGTTATTGATTAAGGCTAATGGGTGTTTTTGTTGTGTGGGTAGATTGGGATTGAATGTCAACTCAGTGCGGAGGAACTGGCTCAACAGATTCAGCAAACATTCTGCTAATGATTATGCATGCTGTCACAACAACATTAAATTACATATGATTGCTCCATCATATCATGTCGTCCGCATCCAGTTTATATATGCCCATATATATATATGTAACTTAATCGATTTTGTTTTGCTAAGAATATATAGGACTGCATGCTTTAATTTCCCAACAGATTAAATTAGTTGTAGATTTTGTCCATTGATTAACCCTAATTAATTATTATGTGTTCACTGTCTGTCTTGGGTTAACTTCTGCTTCCTTTTTTGTCTTTTTATATTGGCCGTTTGCGTCGCATGGCAAATTATGCTGTGCATCCGCATGCACCATGAACCATGCATGGTGCATACGGATGCAAAAACGACGTCGTTTTATTAAAAACGGGCGTCTCTTTTTTTTTAAAAAAAAAAAATTCAAATTCGATTCCCAGCAACAACATATGAACTAAAATTCCAGAATCGATGAATTATAATTCCATAATCTATGAACTAAAATTCCAGAATCTAATCTATGAACTAAAAATTCCAGAATGAATGAACTAAAATTCCAAAATCTATGAACTAAAATTTCAGAATCGATGAACTACAATTCCAGAATCGATGAACTATAATTCCAAAATCAATGAATTAAAATTCCATAATCTATGAACTAAAATTCCAGAATGAATGAACAACATAATATTGTTGCTGGGAAACGAACCTGATTTTTTTTAAAAAAAGAGACACACATTTTTAATAAAACTACGTCATTTTTACATCCTATGCACTATACATGGTGTATACGGATGCACAACATAACTACTCGTGTCGCATTATAGTCCATATAATAAGTCTACGCCATTGATATGCTCACCAGTTAATGGGCCTTTAGTAAAATGCTTTTTTGGTCCATATTCAATGGGCGTGCACAAATTGGGCAAATTATTGTATGGACCATGGTCCACACAATATTATGTGGACCATAACAAAAAATATATTTTTAATATACTAAATGTATATTATTTTTGTACCGAATATACATTATACAATATAATATATACTCAGAACAAAAATAATGTACATCCCCTGAATGCAATATACATTATTTTACAGTAGATAAAATATGGTCCACACAATAATGATTGCACAAATTGGCTTCAAGGTTAACACCTCATCTATCATGTGATGTGGCGGCAAATTATTGTGTGAATCATAAAAAAATATATATATATTTTTAATATACTAAAAGTATATTATTTGTATATTAAATGTAGATTATTTAATAGTATAATAGACACAATATGAGTGTGAGATGGCGGCTTTATGCATGACATTTAATTTGATATTAATAGCGTTTAAAACATGGTTACATACCTAGGTCTTTGGGTCTTGGCCTCTTGGGTCACTAATTGAAGATATACGAGACGTATATGATAATTTTTGATCTTTTTTTGAACATCAAAACTTAATGCATTAAATTTAATAAAAGAGTGTCAACAAGATAAAAAGGCGGAGTGCCCAACCAATGTTGCAAAAAACGTTTGGCGCCCCCTAGGCGTCAAGGGGGCGCCTAGACGCCGATTTTTTATTTTAATTTTTTTAATTTTTTAAAAATAAAAAAAATTAAATTAAAAATTATGAATTTCACTAATAAAACATAAGGTTCCTTTAGTTTTTTCTTACAAATTATTTACATAAGTTGTTGTAAAATCGTTTTGAATATTGTTGAAACCATCTATATACATAAAAAAAAAATTAAAATTAAGAGCAAAAAAAACATTTTTTGGAGAAATTAGAGGGCCAAACCGCCTTCGAAAAATACGCGATTTGAAAAAAAAATTGTCCAAAACGGACAATCGAGTCAAAAGTTATACCTTCCCGAACTTTTAACACTTAAAAAAAAAAAAAAAAAAAAAAAAAAAAAAAAAAAAACGGTCAAACCGGCCGGCCGGCTGCGGAGGAGGCCAATTCCGGCCTTCCTCGCGGCCGCCTAGGCGCGATTTTTGCAACCGTGTGCCCAACCACTCGCTGCAACCTGACACATAGACGATCTTCCGAGTCACATCGTGGACAGCACGATTCGCATATTGCTTAGTAAAATAAAAACAATCACTACCTATTGTGGATGCTACTTGTTTAATATCATCAATACCAATACCAAAAACGGGGCTAAAAGAACTTGAAGATAAAGCATGCCAAACCAGTTGTGAATCTATTTCGACATCAGCATCTCATAGCTAACTCCTTCAACCAGCTTAATGCTTCTTGAATGCTCACTGCTTTGCCCTTTTTTTGCAAACAAGCAGAACGTGAAGCGTCCTCTCAATCATCATAGTTGTTTATGTCACATCAACACCAACATGTGGCATAACCAATCTTACTGACTTGTAGGTGTGTGTCACATGCTCCTAGTCAATATAAATTGTTACATACGCTCTATCCTCAACGCTATAAAAATCAATTTGTTTCACATAACTAGGGACTTCGCATTAAGAACATCTTTAATATTTTTTCGGACTATTGAAACCCTTCCGACCTACTTTTTGCTTCTAGAACTTGTAAGATAGTTACAGATTTTCTTAATTAGCTAATCAAACATCAAATTTCACGAAAACTTTACACCAAGGATTCAAGAAATGACGAAATGTTCTTTTTGCAAAATTTATGGCTTCTATTATGCAACGTTAGTTCCCTCACACCAACGCCACGTAAAACCACAAAATTTTCCAATCCAGTGCAAAAGTGTGGGGCCATGCTGACGTTGACTAACATCTTTGACCCATTTTCAGCCAGCCGCGTGTCATATATATATATATATATATATATATTCTTTTTTTGAATTATCCATATCTATATTCTCCCTCCAAATATCTCCCCTCCCACTCTCATCTCACCACGTCAGACTTCCTCCACCGTGGCACCCTCCACGTCATATAGCGTTTTTCTTTGTGCTCGACGTGGATCGTTCTTCACCGTCTGCGGAATCGCTCGACATTTCTGGCCCGTTGATCTGTCATGGAAAAAAGCTTGTGGCTGCAGAAATTCGAAAGGGTATATATTGCCTGAGGAATATTTTTGTCTGTGAAATACTACGGTCCAGGGCCCTCTGTTTGATTGAGAGTCACCGGAATCTTGAATCTCCGGCGACCAGAAACTCTGCAGACTTGCTGAATTCTCTCTGAGGTATATACAGCTCTCTTTGGGTTTCTTCTTTTGTTTGAGAAATCGTTTTTTGTTGGATTTGAATAGCTGAAAATTGAATCATTATTCTCATAAGTGCCCAGAAACCGTCATGAATTCAAATGCAAAAAATCAATCTTTAAGGATGAAATCACCAGTAAACAGAAAATGAATTTCCAGATTTGTTTCTGAGAGCTTTAGCAGCATTCTGTGTAGGAAAATTGGACTGTATTTTTAGTAGATAATGAAATTTTTTCTGTATTTGAATTTGAGCAACTGAGTATTCCTTAGTTCTACTAAAGTGTAAAGATAGATAGTATTGTAGTATCTATTAACCCAATAATTCATAGCAGTTGGTAATATGACTATTAGTTTCGAAAGACCGGTTCTTGCAGGGGTGCATCATTTCAAATAGCTCTAAGTTAGTGGGGACAACACCAGCCGATTAGACTGTTGACTTAGTAACCATAAGATTTCACGTTCGACTCTCAGTGGAATTGAAGTGACCTAATGGTTTTCTTGGTTTAAGTCATTCAACTATGCGCAACCTAGGTTGATTTATCTGATTGTTGTCCTTTGCTAGCTAGAGTCACAATGCGGGGTTTAACCAGTATACACCCTCGGATAGTGACTGGGGATTAGTCTGATACGGTGTTTGGGGATTAGTTATTAGTTGATTGTATAAATAATATGTTTCAAATGTTGAATCTTCATGGTTTGCTGGTTGGAATAATGTTCTTACTGACAACATTGTTAGCTGATTTGTATCAATAATTTCATGTTTATAAAACACAGACTTTATTGGCATGGGAGTTGTGACTGTTTCTAGCTCTGCTGCAAGGAGTCCTTTGGGATTGAGCACGAGATTTTCCTCTCGTTTATGTGCGCTTAAAAGACCGTTAGTACTGTCATTCAAAGCCAATAAACCGAAAAATGCTGCTGCTTTGGTTTATCCTGATGAACCTACATCGTTGTCTCTAGAGACATCGAAAGAGAGTAAAAAGAGAGTGGGGCGAGCTAAAAAGCGTTCAGATAGGATTCATGCTGTCTCTACGGGTGAAGCCTCTCCGAGTACTCTAGATTTGGATTACAATGATGTTGCTGCCAAACTCGAGAAATTATACATCCATAGTCCAGAACCTACTACTTCTCGTATAGGTTCTGAAGGCTGTATAGTCAAGAGAAGTTGTCAAAGGAAGAAAACGAAACGGTTGAGTCTTGATAAGAGGGTTGCTCTTAGAAACATGAAGGGAGACGAAATAGTCGCTTCTTCCCACGAAAGGAAGCGTAAGGAGGAAACAGAAGAAGAAAAAATCAATAAACTCGTTAGAGAATATTCGGTTGGCACAGATTTAGTGAGCATGGACTGGAAGAAAATGAAAATCCCAGCAGTTCTTGCTTCATCTGAGCATGCCTGGCTCTTTAAGTTGATGCAGCCTATGAAGGTAAGGATAATGTTTATGCGGTTTATTTTTTCCCTGATAACAATCCTATAATTTATGGTGTAAACTTTCTTTTTGCTGAAATTAAGGTAATCCTTCAAGTTAAGGAACACTTACAAAACGATCTGGGGCGAGAACCATCTGGTGTTGAAATAGCAGAAGCAACAAATGTGGATATTGTTGTACTAAGGAAAATATTGGAAGCTGGTCGAGCAGCACGAAACAAATTGATCAAGGTAACTCTTACGTTTTATTGCCTTCTTCTTTTAAGAAAAGTTTAATTGTCCGCTTGTAATGAAACTCGTGTTTCTGTGTACTATTTATTACACTTTTTTTTTTTTAGTACTACTGACTCTGTTACAATGCAGTATCTGTTCATACTGTTTATTTACACTTGTTTTGGTAACTGTTGTAGTTCACATAGTGATCATATTTCGTTGCAGCACAACCTACGACTGGTTTTGTTTGTCATCAAAAAATATTTTCAAGATTTTGCAAACGGTCCAAAGTTCCAAGACCTATGTCAAGCGGGCGTGAAGGGCCTTATTACATCCATTGATCGATTTGAACCAAAAAGGAGGTTACAGCTCTCGACATACGGTCTCTTTTGGATTAGACATGCAGTTATACGCTCCATAACTCTTTCGAGCTTCATTAAAGTGTCCTTCGGGCTTGAGTCGGTGCGTTCTATACTTCTATATTGAAATTATTAAATTTGTTGCATGTAGATGCCAATAAAAGAAGTGTGATTTTGTTTTGATTCAGGTAAGAGCTGAAATCCAGAGGGCGAGATTAGAATTGTTGTTTGAACTTCAGAGGATGCCAACAGATGAAGAGATAACGGGACGAGTAGGAATCTCCACTGACAGATACCACGAAGTGATGAAAGCATCGAAACCCGTTTCCTCTCTCCATGCAAGGAACCGCGTGACACAAGAGGAGCTTATCAATGGAATTACTGATCTCGATGGTGTTGAAGGCGATAAGAGGCAGCAACCCGCTCTTCTAAGGCTTGCTCTTGACGATGTGGTAATTTCTTTCGATCGCTTTCTTTAAAGTTTAGCTGTAACCTATGTTGCTTTCTAATCTGATAAGGTAACATCTTTTTTAATGTTATCTAAGGAAAATGGTTTTGTGACTACTGTCTTATCTTCCTAGTACTCGTTTTTATAACCAAAAGAAATCTTCATAGTACTTGAGCTGGTACTTTGTCATTAGTTTATCAGTTACCAGTTTCAGATGGATTGATAAACTCGATGCCATTAAATCACGATGAAAAGATGAAATGTAGCACTTTTCTGCAATAGTTTAATGGTTCTTGCTGTTTTTTTTTTTTTTTTCTGGTGCAGAAGACAATTAACTCGTTTTAATGTTTTCATAGCTTGATTCTCTGAAACCGAAAGAAAGCCTGGTGATCAGACAGAGATATGGGCTCGATGGCAAAGGCGATAGGACACTGGGAGAAATTGCGGGAAATCTAAACATTTCGAGAGAGATGGTGAGGAAACACGAGGTGAAGGCTCTCATGAAGCTCAAGCATCCAGCCCGAGTGGATTATCTTCGCAGATACATTTTCTAAGGACACCAACGCCCTTGATCAGCTCGAGCCATCACAAGAACAGCGCTTCCGATATGTGTTTGGTGTCGCGATTATACACTTATACTAATCATTTGTATCATAATCACATACAGATGTAACTTACACACATGATAATAAAGAGGAAAAAGAATCATATAATACAGCTAAATATTGAGTTTTACATGACTGAAATCACTGTCTGTAAGTAAGCCAATCAATTTACAACTTCTGCAGATGCCCTTTTCTCTTTTTTGGGTAGTAATGAAAGGTGAATGAATGTGTGGTAGGTGTAAGTTGGTAATAGTACTGAAAGGGATGTGAATCTACCTTTGCTAGCTTGAATCATCCTAGTACTGCCACTTTACTGCTTAGTTGGCATATGGTTAGGATTGTTCATTGAATCTGACATGAGATATGTTTGAATCTATTGTAACTAAAAGTCTAAATTGATCGTTAAACTATAAGGGTGTTTGGTAAATGACTGTTAGCTGATTGGATTAGTGGACTTGACTAGTTGATAGCATTAACTGATTGTAGAAAGGTGTTTGATAAATTAACTGTTAGTTGTTAGCTGATTACATCATTACATACAAAATGACATTCTCAAAAAACTGATTGAAAAAACCACTTTGAGAAGCTTTTTGAATTTTAGCATTTTGGAACAATAAGTTGTTACATAAGCTAATTAATCAAACACTCATTGATTTTAACCAAGTCAAACAATTAATAGTGGTCAAATAAGCTAAAAGTAACTGATAGGCTTACTATTTTAGCAAAGAGGGCCTATAAATTTATATTACCCTAAACACACCCTCACACAAAGAAGTTTTCTAGTTTAGCACCTAAAATGCATCTAACTTGAACCAAAGTTAAAGGCATGCAAAACTGCATTGCAATATATCAAGTGCTTTGGTAGTGAATTGGTGGTAGGAAGTATTTGTGTGACCTGATAAATACAACCGCCACAAGATTTTAAATTTGACTTTTTTGCAGGAGTTATTTATTAACTTTTTCTATTTGAGATTGGCCTGTTAGTTATGAATAACCTATGCTGGTTTATCTCTTTATGATCCTTGGTTGGTTATGGTCACAAGACATGCTTAATCCAAGACACGCACTCGAGTAGTGGTTGCAAATTTTCCCTAAAACAAAGAAAATTTAAATGTCAAGACTAATAATACCTAATAGCTAGTAAACATTTGTGCACATATCATGAATGTTGGGACCAAGTTAAGCCAGATTTTACCGTTTGTGATAGAGTTAGAGTTTCGATTCGAGTATTGTTTCGCATTTTAAACTCTTCTATGGACCTTATTATTATCAAGTACTAAGTTGCCCTCTCTATTCCACCAGCAATGAGCTCATCACCCTATTCTCGCTTTAAATTTTTCATTATTAACTCCCTTTAAACATTATATTATCAAATGATATACCGCCTCAAGTTAAATTAATATCAGTTCAAGTATTACATTTTTATTTTAAATGTTTTTAAACTCGCATCACGAAGTATCCCAACAGTGCAATGCAACAACATAAACTAGAGAATGGCTTCATCTTTAAAATATGCTAATCCACTACGTATAGTATTGAAAAGATAATAATATAATACAAAATAATGGAAGAAGGAGACGTGTATGTGATCCATCAAATGAAGCTTTTGATGTAGCGATCCACAAATAATGGAGTTGGCCTTTCAAAATTATTGGCAATTAAGTAAAGATCTATCTGACACGACCAAAAGCTGCCTTAACTATGTATCCTAGTTTAATCATTGGATAACGTTAGGCGTCATGTTCCATTGACTAGGGAAAATTAAGCACAAACCACAGGCTTTTTTAGTTTTCATCCTTTTCAGCTTTTTTTTTTTTTTTGAAAGAATCCTTTTCAGCCATTACAGCAATTTCATTAGTGAGGTTTATTCTATTAATTATTTTAGGGGTTTTAGCATCTATCTCATTATTTATTATCTTGCTCAATCTTAAAAATATTTTTTTCATTAGTTTTAAATTTTTTCTTACTTTTTTTTTGTGAATACACCCTTTTATTTCACTATATTTTAATCATTTATTTATTTATTTATATTCAATATAAAAATTATAATTACAATTATTATTTTTATTATATCTAAATTAAACACGAAAAAATCATAATAAAATTATAATTATAAACTGTTAATTATAATAATATGGTATCAAAATTATATACTATATTTATTAAAAACAAAAAAAAAAAGAGACAAATTTAAAAAAAAAAAAGAAAAAAAAAAAAAGAAAGAAAGAAAGAAGAAGAGAAGTTCGCCGTTGCACGACCATAAAAAAAATTCTTTAAAAAAAAAATAATGCATGCATTTAGAGTGGCCGTCACCGCCCAGGCAGGCGGGTGTAACACACTTTTTTTTTTTCTCCTCTTGTAAAAACCCAAAAAATGCACAAATGAAGGTACTCGCGTAGTGCTTTTTTTTTTTTTTTTGGTAAATCAAATTAGAACTATCAAATATTACTAACTTCTATCTCATAACATAAATTTTCAAGACTAAATTTATAAATTTACCTTGATTTTCTTTCTCTCATATATTCCCTTCCAATAAATATACTATTGGGCGCGCAGTCCGCACAGACTTAGCTCACTGATTCAGTAGATAATATCTGGGAGAAGAATAAATATACTACTGAGGCAAACACTTAGGCCCTGTTTGGTAAAATGGTTGTTAACTGATAAGTGTTAGTTGTTAGCTGATTGTGTTAATTAGAGGGTATAAATAGTTGATAACATTAGCTGATTGTAGAAAAGTGTTTGGTAAATTAGCTGTTAGCTGATAGCTGTTTGATATAATTTCTTTTCTCAAAAAACTAATTGAAAAAGTTGCTTGGAGTAGCATTTTGAATTTTAGCCTTTTGGAGTTGCAAAAAGCTAATTAACCAAACATTTATATTGATATTTTAACTAAATCAAACAATTAATAGTGGTCAAATAAGCCAAAATTGACTCATAGGCCAATTTTTTTTACCAAACAGGGCCTTAATCTTATTCTCTCAATTTGTACTTTCAATGCATAATTTCCCCTCGATGCTGAGAGAAGATGTGGAAATGAGAAGACTGAGGTGAATATGTAAGTTTAACCTTGAAAATTATGTTTTAAGATTGGAATATAATTAACCGGCACGATTCAATGGAATGGAAAAAGTGTCATCCACTAGCTAATAATTGAGGGATCAAAATTTAAAACACATATAATTATATTGGGTGACTGAGGCCACCATATATTCGTAATTGTGAGATTAAAAGCGTCATTTTTTCTTACAATAATAAGTTATAAATAATTCAGTAAGATAAAAATTGAAATTATAATCTCTCAATTGGTTGTAAGAGATGGATGAAAACTTAATATAAGCCAAAAGTTTTTTTTTTTTTTTGGTCAAACCAGATTTTGATTTCCTCAGCCATGATACACTAAGTCTCCACGAATGTTTGTAACAGATCTGAACTCGAGATTTTTTGTTAAGAAGCAAGAGACACGCATCATCTCATTCACACCTTTATTAGTATAAGTCAAAAGGAATTAATATTTAATAATACTTGGTATATATAGGGATGATATAATTGCCCACTTAAATTTGATGTGACACAAAACCAATGAGTGTTGCAATTACACATCGAACTCCAAATTGGGGTATAAGTTGGGGTGATGTGTGATTGAACTTCTTTCTGAATCATAACTAAACAGAAACCCAACAACATTAATAAATTCTTAAGAACATTATTATAAAGATTGTGTGCTTTGATGCATGCTATGAATGGTTTGTAAAGAGGTTAGAGGCACCTGAAACATGCCTCACCTGCAATCACTTTTCCCCTAACAAAATGGCAATTAATAAATGAACACGTACACGCACACACGCTCGAATAATACAAAATGCGTTGGGCTGTTATATTTTTTATTTTATTTTTTTTAAAAAATATTCATAATTAAATATCGAAATGTCATTAGATTTAACGAAATTTCAACTATTTTTTTTTATAAACGATCAAAATTAGTTATGTCACAATAATACTAGGACTAAAAAGGGATGTTCTGATAAAAAAGAACTAAAAGTGGATTAACACCTATAAATCTATAACCAAAAATGAAATTAACTCTAATTATTTCTTTACAAAATATATTCTGGTAAGTCGATAACATATTTACCGTCACATACATTCCCATACAATATATAGGGAGATTTGAACATGAATTATGCTTAAAACATGTGAAAATATGCTATAAGATAGGACTAGATATTCAGGAATTGAATTTGATTATCAGGATTAGTGTGCTTTCCAATAATCACAACCAGATAGATTGAGATAACATATGCTCGCCAAAATGAGTGGCCGAGTGGATAAAACATAATTCTCATACCTATAAGTCGATAACATAATTCGAATGGGTAGCACACTTTCGATTGGGTCTGCCATATAAAAATTTTTTAGTGTGATTTATATAGTACACATTCGATATATTATATCAAAATGAAATTATTTTATTTGACTCGCTATCATTATTCATTAAAGAACCTGTTACAAGACAATAATGCATTTAATATTCTTTAATTTGATAGCTTCTTTTCAACAAATTCAGGAGGTATCTTTTAAATTCCTTTTTTTGTTAATTCCAAATTATTATATTGGAATATAATCCAATGGAAATTATTATTCACAAATATCCAATAAATAAAATCGCATAATCAATCAAATATTATTCTAAATGAATGGACCTCATTTTTTGGTATTTCACATGTATAAACACTCATTTATACTACAAAATCAAATTTACTTCGAATGACTCTTTGATCAAACTTGTTACACATAATTTTTTGAGAAAATGGTCAAATAGGCCCTCGAACTTTAGCTTAAAAGTCAATTAGGTCCCTAAACTTTTTAAAGATGCAATTACACCCACCAACAGTTTATTTAAGTGCAACGAAGCCCAAAAATAAATTAATGACCTGCTATCACAGGTCATTAGGGTTCAAGCCACCTTCCGGCGAATTTTCCGGCAAAAAAAAAGTGACTGGCGAAATTTTCGACAAAAGAAGTGACCTGCGAAATTTTCGGCAAATCTGGGTCGGTTGCTGGTCACCTCTTTTTTTTGTCGGAAAATTCGCTGGAAGGTGGCCTAAACACAAATGACCTGTGATAGCAGGTCATTAACTTGTTTTTGGGCTTCATTGCACCTAAATGAATAGTTGATGGGTGTAATTGAACCTTTAAAAAGTTTAGGGGCCTAATTAATTTTTAAGCTAAAGTTTGAGGGCCTATTTGACTCTTTTCCCTAATTTTTTTTAATGTAATTTAATTTTTTAGTTTGAGGTTTACCTTTTAACATCATGGTATCATTGGAAATTAAAATGAAAAAGGGGAAAAAAAAAAAAGTAAAGCATATCTATTTCCCTTGAAAATTTCATTTGACTATATTTATATACTCCATATATTACATATTATTACCTAGCTTTGAGTAAAATCGAGTTATTCATCTCTTTTTATGAGTTTGTCCCTCCAACAGGGCCGGTTCTGGCCATGTTTGGTCAGGACGACGTCACAGGACCTCCGTTTTTTTTTTAATAAAAAAATTATATATAAAATTATTATTTTTATACTTGATAATTATGCTTTTAAAATTCATAGATTATTCTTAATTGTAATTGAAAATAATTTTTTTTAAAAAAAAATTGACATTGAAATTTCGGTAAATAATTTTGTATTTAAATATGCATTAAAAATGTCACTTTTAAATTAAATTTTGAATTGTATTTTTTCTTGATTGAACTTTTTATACATTATATTTGGACACATTTTTTTACTACATTTTTTTTTAATATATATTTAGACAAATTGAGTCCAAATAAATTTGGACTCAATTACCTCATTATAGAAATTTTATATACCTCTATCGTTATCTTTTAGAAGTTTTTAAAATTACGCCTCTATAAATATTAAATAGACACGGGTCTTTATTTTTTATATAACGACTCTGCCCACCAACATGCTCAGGGAGTCGAGCGCTTGAAATTGTTTGATGGGTCTCTCCAACATGAAGAATGCATGTATGTCTGATCTTCTTTCTACAACGTCGTCGTCATCTACATTTTCTCTCTCACCAAATTGCAAAATGAATATTGTGTGCATACATGCATATAAGGCGGATTCAGAAATTTTATTCTGTGGAAAGTAAAAAAATTAGTTAAAAACACGATTTTATTTTAGTACATAAAAACACATATATTCGACTAATCTCAAATATAAATTATATACTATTCAAATACAATTAGAGAACCAAATTAACCCAAATGTAATTTTTATTTCACAGCTAAAAATTGAACTAACTAATAAAAAAAATCAAACTTTATAATACATAGTAACTACACATCAATCCATTAGTCATATGCTAAGTACTAACACGAACTAAAGAGAAATCAGCTAGTATTTCAATTCTTTTTAACATTTATTAAATTTTAAAATTTTATAAACTCAGTAATGGAGCATTTTCATAAAATAAAAAAAAAAATAAAAATAGAAGCAAAACCCCGCATATAGGATAGTGCCCACATAGTACTATTTTCTATTATTATTATTGTTTTTTTTTTTTTTTATCTATTCTATTCAATTATATCATTAGCATTAGCTTCATCTACCAACTTATGATTTGCAAATATAGACATATAGTAGACGTATACTTCCCCTCTTGCCTATTTATTTATTTACTAGTTTTTTTACGCGTGTTGCGCGATTGAGATAATACCCAATGTATTTTTTAAATAAGTACTTTAAAGTATATATCAATGCAAGATTATATTGGAATTGTTCATGCATAGATAATTGAATGTTGAATTTACGTATTTAAATAGGTGATTCTAAGTTTACAAATGCAAGATAATATAGTCAAGATTGATTATAATTTTTAATAAAATAATTGTATAGGTGTGGTTGAAACCAAATACGGGACATAAGGGAGAGCAAATAAAAATTAGGGCATAAAATATTAAATATATACTAATATTGAAGAGCTAACTGTTGATTGCCAAACAATGACATTGCGAAATAGTTTCCTATTCAATTTGTTGTGTGATTTGAATACTCTTTTCATCAATAAATCCCCCAAGTAGTTAATATGATTGGCTTAATTATATTTTTTATTATTTATTTTTTAAAAATTATTATTATTATTATTATTATTATTATTATTATTATTATTATTATTATTATTATTATTATTATGTCATTTTACATGTTAATCTAAACAGCTAATTTTTTCAAATATCTTTTTACTAACCATTGATATAATTTACTGGTCAAATTCGCTAATATAATCGGCTAACCGCTACCTGCTGGTTGTCAAACAAGGACATTGCGAGATAGTTCTCACTTCAATTTGTTGTGTGATTTGAATACTCTATTTGTCAACAAATCTCTCAAGTAGTTAATATGATTGGTTTTATTAATTATATATTTTTAAATTTTTTCATGATATTAATAAAATACTTGGTAAATAAATATATAGCATTATTTTGTACTATAACTTTGATATTTAATTTTAAAAAAAATAGTGCACAAAAAAAGATAATAGTCAATGTCGTGAATATAATCAATTGATGAATTTGAATGTAAAGAATTTTTACATTAGAGAAAAATAAAGACAATATAACTAATAAAATTATTTCTCTTAATTAATTTATTGATAACGAATACTTTTTTTTTAATAAAGACATTGTAGGGACAATGTAACGAATATAATCAATTGATGAATTTGAATGTAAAGTATTTTTATATTGGAGAAAAATAAAGACAATATAACTAATGAAATTATTTCTCTTATTTAATTTATTGATAATGAATATTTTTTTTTTGAATAAAGACATTGTAGACACATAATTATAAATTAAAGAAATGTATATGCACCATCGGCAGTGTGGGAGCTACCTCTCAAAGTGAGGGGGGGTTCCTTGTGCGCAGTGAGCAAAGGTCTAGCCTCTATGGTTCATGTTCAGTTGAGTTACCATGATTTACATCTTCCCAAATGCTCTGTCGAGTCGGAGTGTGGGGGGGGGGGGGGGGGGGGGGGGGCTTAGGGTTGGAACCTTTTGGAATAAAGAAATGCATATGTATTATTTTATGTTGTAGCTACTGGATTATTATTTAATTTAATAAGAATAAAATAGAGTACTAATTATGCCAATTTTGATTAGGATGGGGTTCGAACTTATGCCCTTTCTTATTGAAATCAAAGAGTAATTTAAGGGTGAACTAACAGAAATTAACAGAAAAGTTAACGGATAATCATATTCATTAAGGATAAATTAGGAAATCTAAAGGAAAAATTAAAATCTGATCAATCTGAGCCATTCATTTGATTATAATTTGTGACCGCCATTTTTTCTACCCATTATAGGCCTAACTCTCTTGGGCTCTTATTAGTATAGTAGATATATTTTATTTTATTTATTGAATTAGTTTTTTTATACTGCATCTAGTATTCTCACCAATTAATCTAAATCTATTATGTTACCTACGCATTAGTAGGTTGTTTATCAACGCATAATTCATTATTAATCAAAAAATGTGAGGTTTCACTTGTAGTCAAGGAATCATGCTTCATACTCGATCAATATTGCTTTCCCCATTTGAAAAAAAAAATATATATATATATATATATATATATATATATATATATATATATATATATATATATATATATATATATATATATATATATATATATATATATATATATATATCTAATACACTACGGTTACATGACATAAGTTACGTACCCCCTTCAAGGGTCATAACCATGCAGCTCACATATATACCTTTCCGGCGTTTGATGCGAACCAAAAGTAAATGAGAATGAAGGAGATCTCAAAAGCAATCCGACTCCATTAATGGTGACCACCGGAAAATTTTCCCACCGGCCGGCCATACCACGTGTACAGACAACAGTTGAACAGTGCGAGTATGTAGGGAACGCCTGAGAACTCGTCCGCACTCTTCTTCTCCATCACCCTCGCAAAGGTTATAACCTGCACAATTGCATGCACATCACAGAAATAATAATCAATTATTAAACTAAAATAATTTAATTTTGCAAATATTCAACTATATAATAAATAAATTTCCATGATATATAATTTACGGACAAATAAAAGTCAAATTTTGGTTATATGTGAATAGTGAGGTGGCCCATTACCTAAAGGTAGATTCTCTATATATATATATATATATATATATATATATATATATATATATATATATATATATATATATATATATATATATATATATATATCCCTCAGCTGGGAATGCACAACTCATAATTTCAAGAAGGGTTTTCCAAAACTCTCTCAAAGCTTCCCACCATGGAAGATAGACTGCGTTTGGCAGTGGGAGTAATGGGTAAGTAAATATATGCATATATATATATATATATATATATATATATATATATATATATATATATATGCCTCTAATATAATATGCATGAATATATAATTTATTTTAAAAAATTAATTAACTTAGCTTGCATGCATCTTTTTTGCAGGTAACGCCGGCAGCTTGATGCTCTATTCTGCACCAATGTAAATTATTAAAAAAGAATAGTTTGTTATATATCATGGAAATTTATTTATTATATAGTTGAATTTTTGAGAAATTAAATTATTTTAGTTTAAATAATAATTGATTGTGCAGGTTAACTTTTGCGAGGGTGATGAAGAAGAAGAGTACAGAAGAGTTCTCATGCGTTCCGTACATACTCGCACTGTTCAACTGTTGTCTATACACGTGGTATGGCCTGCCGGTGGTTAGTCGCCGGTGGGAAAATTTTCCGGTGGTCACCATTAATGGAGTCGGGATTGCTTTTGAGATCTCCTTCATTCTCATTTACTTTTGGTTCGCATCAAATGCCGGAAAGGTAAGCAAGCTATGCTAAGCTAAGCTGCATGGTTATGATCGTTGAGCTAGAATTATATATTATATATGTGAATTGAATTTGCAGAAGAAGGTAGCGCTGATGATGATTCCGGTGATCGGGATGGTTTTGGCGACCATGGCGATATCCACTTTCAGCTTCCATGATCATCGTCACCGGAAACTGTTCGTCGGCAGCGTTGGACTCGTCGCCTCCGTGTCAATGTACTCTTCTCCTCTTGTGGTGCTGGTACGTCGTCGTTTAGCTGCTACCAATTAATATCCAAAACAAAAAGTAGTCTAAGGTATTGATCAATATTTATAGCCGAGTTAATAGTTATATATAAACACTAAAGGGTCAGGTAAGTATACTCTATCTAAATTAGTCGAATAGTTGAACTAACAAACTTCACCCAAAAATACATTTGAGTAAGGCTTCTAAATCTTAATTAATAAAAATAACAAACACTAACCACTACTGTACACGTGGCATGCAGAAACACGTACTAACATTATTGTGCACGTGGCATGCAGAAGCGAGTGATAAAGACAAAGAGCGTGGAATATATGCCATTCTACTTGTCTTTCTTTTCGTTCTTGACCAGCTCACTTTGGATGGCTTATGGGCTGCTGAGCCACGATCTTGTTCTTGCGGTTAGTAATTAAATTAAATAACACAATTTTTCTTCAATTGATTTAGTTTAATTTAAATTAGATTTTCGATTTGTACAACGTTAATAATCTTGGTCGTCGGATAACTACTGTCGTGTCTGCAGAGCCCGAACCTTGTCGGGTGCCCACTGGGCATGCTGCAGCTTCTGCTCTACTGCAAGTACAGGAACAAGGATCAGACGGTGGCTGAAGAGCCACAAAACAAATGGGATTTAGAAAGATGTCATGATGAAGATAAATAGACTATTAAGCTCGCAGTTCGCACGAGGTTAACTCACTGATTCAGTAGATAATATTTGGAAGAATAATAAATAGAAAATTGAAGCAAAACACTTAATCTTATTCTCTCAATTTGTAATTTCAATGCACAATTTTTCCTGGATGTGGAGAGAATATGTGAGAATGAGAATACTGAGGTGAATTTGTAAGTTTAATAACCTTGAAATTATGTTTTAAGATTGGAATTAACCGGCACGATTCAATGTATAGTATTAATGGAGAAAGTGTCATCTACTAGCTAATAATCGAGGGACCAAAATTAAAGACACATATAATTATATTGGGTGACTGATATGAGGCCACTATATATTCGTAATTGTGAGATTAAAAGCGTCATTTTTTCTTACAATAATAAGTTATAAATAATTCAATAGGATAAAAATTAAAATTATGATCTCTTAATTGGTTGTAAGAGGTGGACGAAAACTTAATATAAGCCAAAAGTTTTATTTTTTTGTCAAACCACATTTTGATTTTCTCAGCCATGGTATACTAAGTCTCCACACGACACATCGAGACTAATTTAATAATGTTCGTAACGAATCTAAACTCGAAATTTTTTGTTAAAAAGGAAGAAACACGCATCATCACATCCACACCTTTATTATTAGTATAAGCCAAAAGAAATTAATAATTAATATATAATACTCGGTATATATATAGGGATGACATAATTGCCAACTTAAATTTGATGTGACACAAAACCAATGAGTGTTGCAATTACACATCGAACTCCAAATTGGGGTATAAGTTGGGGTGATGTGTGATTGAACTTCTTTCTGAATCATAACTAAACAGCAACCCAACAACATTAATAAATTCTTAACAACATTATTATAAAGATTGTGTGCTTTGATGCATGCTATGAATGGGTTGTAAAGAGGTTAGAGGCACCTGAAACATGCCTCACCTGCAATCACTTTTCCCCTAACAAAATGACAATTAATAAATGAAAACATGTTTTTTTTTAAGTTGTGTTTTCAAACGAATCTGTTACATAGTACAAGGTCTTTCTAGCTAGTATGCTTTTTATTATAGCCCACACAGCATTGTGTGGACCATAATCACATAATAATTTGTCGTGATCAAACATGATTCTTATACTTAAAAGTTAAAAACATAATTCGAATGAGTAACGCATTTTCGATTGAGTCGGTGACAGAACTTTTTATGTGTGATTTATCTCTCCGGATAAAAGTACACATTCAGTATATTATATTATTATATCGAAATGGAATTATTTTGTTTGACTCGCTATCATCAAAGAACATGTTACAAGACAATAATGCATTTAATATTCTTTAATTTGACAGCTTCTTTTCAACAAATTCAGGAGATATCTTTTAAATTCCTTTTTTATTCCAAATTATTATATTGGAATATAATCCAATGGAAATTATTATTTACAAATATCCAATAAATAAAATCGCATAATCAATCAAATATTCTAAATGAATGGACCTATTTTTTGGTATTTCACATGTATATATAAACAATCCTTCATACTACAAAATTAAATTTCCTTCGAGTGACTCTTGGTCAAACACGTTGTACATAATTTTTTTTAATATTGTTTAATTTCTTAGTTTGAGGTTTACCTTTTTACCCCATGGTATCATTGGAAATTAAAATGAAAAAGAAAAACAGAAAAATTAAGGCATATCTATTCTCCTTGAAAACTTCATTTGACCATATTTATATACTCCATATATTACATATCATTATCTAGCTTTGAGTAAAATCTAGTTGTTCATCTCTTTTTATGAGTTTGTCCATTCAATAGGGCTGGTCCTGTCCATGTCTGGTCAGGACGACGTCACATGACCTCCATTTAAAAAAAAATTATATATAAAATTATTATTTTTATACTTGATAATTATGTTTTTAAATTTAGTAGATTATTCTTAATTGTAATTGAAAATAATTTTTTTTTAAAAAAAAAAATTGACAATCAAATTTCGGTAAATAATTTTGTATTTAAATATGCATTAAAAATGTCACTTTTAAATTAAATTTTGAATTGCATTTTTCTTGATTGAACTTTTTATACATTATATTTGGACACATTTTTTTATTACATTTTTATTTTTGTTATATTTAGACAAATTGAGTTCAAATAAATTTGGACTCAATTACCTTAGTTATTAGAGATTTTATATACTTCTATCGTTATCTTTTAGAAATTTTTAAAATTATATATCTCGTCTCTATTTTTTATGTAACAACTCTACCACCAACATGCTCAAGGGCGCTTAAAATTGTTTGATGGGTCTCTCCAACATGTTTTCTTTGCCTAGACATGAAGAGTTTGTGTTGTGACAAGCTATTAGTTGCTTTAGGAGTCTGCCCATCAATTTGATATATCAGACTCGTAAAGCAACTAAGGCAAATTATGCTCTGGACCCGTGTCCACATTGAATTGTGGACACGGGCCCAAAACGACGTCGTTTTTAAAAAAAAACGCGTCATTTAGTTAAAAAAAAAAAAAAATCGCACGTGTTTTGCCGTTAACGGCGTTAACGGCGTTATTATTATTATTTTTTGATTATGAATGTACAGTTATGCCGTTATGAATGTACAGTTATGCAATTATGAAATTATGAACACAGAGCTCTAACATTATGAACTTACAATTATGAACATATATAGTGATAAAATTATGACCATGGAGCTTTAAAATTGTGAATATAGAGCTTCGAAGATTATGAATGTACAGTTATAGAGTTATGAATCTACAGTTATGGAGTTATGAATCTACAGTTATGAGATTATGAATCTACAGTTATGGAATTATGAATGTACAGTTATTGATCGAATTATGAACAAAGAGCTCTAACATTATGAACTTACAATTATGAACATATAGTGATAAAATTATGAACATAGAGCTCTAAAATTGTGAACATAGAGCTTCGAAAATTATGAATGTACAATTATGGAGTTATGAATGTACAGTTATGAAGTTATGAATGTACAGTTATAGAGTTATGAATGTACAGTTATAGAGTTATGAATGTATAGTTATTCACATATAGTAATAAAATTATGAACATATACTTCTATAACAAAGTGATCTGAAATTAAAAAAAAAAAAAAAAAAAAAAAAAAAAAAAAAAAAGGAGATAACAGTGCTTAACGGCACTGTTACCCATGTCCAGCAAGCATGCTGGACACGGGTCCAAGGCATAACGATTGAAGCAACTAATAGCTTATCACAACACAAACTCTTCATGTCTAGGCAAACAAAACATGTTGGAAAGACCGATCAAACAATTTCAAGCGCCCCTGAACTAATGAGATGTTGTACGTGTACGACAATACAGCATATATATCACATTAGGCATCCTTAAAACCCCACTTTCATCAAATATTCTTACATTGTATTTAAAAAAAAAAATTATTTTTGACGGATTAATTAAAACCATTAGCCTAAAATTCGAACTGTACTGTCCCAATTTAATTATATATATATATATATATATATATATATATATATATATATATATATATATCATATTCAGGTGCAAACAAGCCTTAACATACAAACTATTGAAGGATTGCACCACAATTACTACGTGATTGCACCACAGCGGCTCTACGATATGTTTGGAGAACCTCTGCGGTGCAACCGTATCCGGTGCAGTAATCCTTCAATAGTTTACACATTAAGATCAGTACACACCTTATTATGGACTATATATATATATATATATATATATATATATATAAAAGAAGGAATTACTGTCAACAAAATGAAGATTGATTCCTCTACTGATGACATTATATGCAATGTCCTTTTATTCCATTCAAAGAATGCATGTCTGATCTTCTTTCTACAACGTCGTCGTCATCTACATTTGCTCTCTCACCAAATTGCAAAATGAATATTGTGTGCATACATGCATATAGGGCGGATTCAAAAATTTTACTCTGAAAAAATTAATTCAAAACACGATTTTAGTACAAGAACACATATTAGACTAATCTCAAATATAAATACTATTCAAATACAATTAGATAACCAACCCAAATGTAGTTTTTCACAATTAAAAATTGAACTAACTAATAAAAACATCAAACTTTATAATACATAGTAACTACACACATCAATACATTAGTCATATGCTTAGTACTAACACGAACTAAAGAGAAATTAGCCAGTATTTCAATTCTTTTTAACATTTAGTATCTTTAAATTTCATAAATTTTCAAAGCTCACATATTTTTTAAGCCAAAGATTTCTAAACACAGGGGCACACAACATTAACAACACAAACTCAAAATAAATACGATTAAACTACTATATTTTTCTGGCATTTTAAGTTTATTGATTTCAAGAACTCCTTATAATTCATATATTTTCTCAATTCTCCGAGACCCCGTTAACTCTCGTCTTTAATTGCACAACTTTTTAAAGTACAAAGACTAAATTGAACCAAATAAAAGTATAAAGACTAAATTGAACAAAATATTATAATCGGACCTTGTAAGTACTTTGACCACAAAATGCTCATTGCAAAGGGCTCAATGAAACATCCTAAAATTCACAACAATAAATTAATTATCGTAAAATTAAGAATAAATATTACAAATTAATTAAAGGAGTAAGGTTGAAGGAAAAAAAATAAAAAAGTTAATTCCATTTTTTGTCTTAGACTTATAGGTGGTAGTCCACTTTTAGTCATTTTTTATTAGAACATCCACATTTTGCCATAATATTATTGTGGCATGACTATTTTTTGTCCTCCGTCAACAAAATCATTGAAAGACGTTAAATACAATGACATTTTAATTTTTTTTTTTACAAAGTGGGTTACGTTGATCCGCTATATTTTTATTTTCTTTTTTGAGAACTCTCCATTTGAAAAGTGAAATGCCTTTGTATTTTTAAAAATTTAAATGATTTTGTTGATAAATGACAAAAATGGTCATGCTACAGTACAGTAATACTGAGATCAAAAGAGAATTTTTTAAAAGAAAATGACTAAAAATGAAATAACACCTATAAATTTAATACTAAAAATGAAATTAACTCGAAAAAAAAAAATAGCCTATGTCAAAATTTTATAAACTTAGTGGAGACAGTGATCCCATTGCCCCCACTACGGAGCATTTTCATAAAATAGAAAAAAATTATATAGTGAACTTTGTTTTAAAAATAAAAAATAAAATCCTGGGCGCCCTTAGCTTATATTATGAAGTTTA